TGTACAAACCCTCCTCAACTACTAAGACCCAGAAAAATAAATTAACTGAGGCAATACTGCAACTGCTACTCCTTGGGTTTGATCAAATACTCTTAGCAGGATATTTCAATACTCCATTTTTAAATATAAGCAAACAGAGTACAAATCCCTCCAGAGACGACTTAGAGTAGTCATTTAAAGTTTCTAAATGACTGAGCATGCATGAAGCACATCTAGATGGAAAAAGGGTGAAAAATCATGAAGCTTGTTTTGTTTGTTAACAAATGAACACCTCCTGATTGGAGATGTCCAGGTTAGTGAACGGATAGGAAGTATCCACCATAGGAAGTAACATGGTCACAGATGAAGTACTCAGACAGGTTGAAACCCGTCCTTCCTTTGCTACCGAAGTGCAAACTACGAGATCACGAGAGAGCATCTTCTACACGCCCCATCGTTACGAAACTGATGAAGGCTAACCGCAGTGATAGGTTTCATTCTGTATACTGTCTTAGAGAATGGACGCCAGACAAATCACTCACCTGTAAAGAGTAGAAAATGGGTTAAGTGAGGCACTGGAAGCATGCTACAGACGCAAAGGAGGGCCTTGCACAAGTGAAATCGTTCTCTGAAAGGTTCTGATCGCTGCTACTACTTGACGTTGAGAAACGGATGCAGCGCCAAAGTTCAAAAAGCTAGGAGACAATTTCAGAGGTAGCTAAGATGCAGGTGAACCTTAAATATACTCGAGCTGATGACTAATACAAAGCCTAGGGAACAAGGTAAGTAAGATCCATTTTTAAAGGCTTTGTTCGTGAAAATCCCTCCATTTATATAATTGTAATTCGCTCTAATTGATTCCTTCAGTTGTACATTTTGTTGGTCTGTTCGATTCCATTTGAGATGATAATATTCGTATTATATTATAGTTTCTATTTCTTTTGCCTTCACTGATTTTCTATGATTCTTTAATAACTGAATTTATGTTGTTTAGGCAGATACTTAGTCATGGCGACAGACATATTGATTTTTGCCTCCTTTGATTGAGTTGCTTGTATTGACTCAGATCGTGCATTTCCACTGTGAGTTGAAGCGCTCTTCCAGAATAGGAAGCATTCTGTGTTAGAGAGCAACCAAGTATTCTCTTTCAAACGAATCTGATTTATCCAGACAGGATAGAATAACACTAATTGTTGCTACTGATTTGATTAAGTGAAAGATTGTTGAAGCAATAACTGAGTGTTAATATTAGTTCAGGTAATGATGTACATTTATATTTGTGATGAATATCAGAATCGTTATTTACCTACTCACTTTGTTTTGGTTTCAACTGGGCAATAGCGCGTATCTAAACTACCTAGAACGTTATTCTTCAGTTTAAACCCCAGTTTGGATTCTACACGGTGTTTGTGCTCCACTAGTTCCAAACGAAGATTGTGTCAACTAACAGGTGGCTAAGATTATTAATCCTTACTTCACCGACCAGTTCAACCAGGTGCCTATAGGTTCACAACACTACTCAAACCTAGAAATGACTTGGGAAACTTCCGACTTACTTCTGGCTTGGTAATATGAAAACTAAGGTCCTTGAGCCCAGGAAAAGCACTAAGATGTGAAAATATTCGCCCTACGGTCTTCAGACGGTATACAGAAGCTCTCATTCCACCGATGTGTGACCTGTTCAGATGTTGACTGGGGGCACAACAACTCCCAGCTGAACGGAAACAAGCTATTCTCTCTCCAATCTTCAGAGAAGGAGATAGGAGATAAGACCAGTTGCAATACTACTAATACTATCAAAGATAAGAGAAGGACTGGTGAATGAACAAATGACAGAGTACATGAATACGGACAGTATTATCCATAAAGCTGAACCTGGGTTTCATAAAGGCAGATCATGTGCATCCAGTCTTGTCATCGCATGACACAGCTGGATAACCTTCTGAGACGGAAAGATACCGGTTCACATAATGTTTCTTGACTTCTTAAAATCTTTTGACTGTACCTTAATTACCTCTAATTACAAAGTTTACGAAAATGGGCTTCACTGATCCACTTATATCTTCGTTTAGAAACTGCCTTGAAGACAGAAAGTTTTGCACCTAGGTAAACAGAAAACATGTAACCTGGCGAGTCTAAACATATAAAGATTCACACAGGACCATCTAAGGTCCAATTCTCTTCCTAAAAGCTCGGCGGCACTGATCTACGCAAATGATGCAAAGATCTGGAAGTTCATCAGAAGCGAAGAGGATTCAGCTGGTCTTTGAAAAGACCATATACCAATTGAGAAATCGTCAGTGGGAGACGGACTAAAACTAAACCAGCCCAGATATCACATTGTGAACCTTAGGTTCAAAGTGACGTAAACGTTTCACACCCTCATTTGAAGTTCGCTCACTAATGTCTCCTCAGAGCGCGATCTCGGTCCAATAACAACAGAAAGTCTAGACACCAGTTTGAACTACATAGGGGACGCAGCCAAAGCTAAAGCAACTCTTCACTTTATGCGAAGACAACTTGGTGCTTTCACCCCAGAGTTATTCTTAACACCTTAAGATAGACGCACATCGACACTTTGAGGCTCACTGTCGTCGCACCCCCTCTAATTAAAGGAGACGTAGAGCTTCATCATCATCTTGAAGATAGAATGCTTCTTAGTGGGACGGATCACTTCAACCCTCATGTACTAAGGCCCAGAAAGACAAACTGATTCAGGTACTGCTAATCCCTGGGTTCCATCAAATACTCTTAGCTGGAGATTTAGACACTGGAACTATAACTCTCAGCAAACACGGTACAACTCCCACTGGTTGGTTCCAAAGATGATTTGGCGCAGCCATTCAAGGTACTGGGCTGACTGGGCATGTACGCAGCGCCACTAGATAGAAAAAGGATGGATTATTTGCCAACAAATGATTAGCTCCTTGTTGAGTACAGTCACGTACATACACCAATATGAAGTAGTGGCCATGGCACAGTCTTGTATAACATGGTGATAAACAGAACAGACAGGACGAAAACGAGCCCTACCTTACTACACTAGGGCAAATTAAACGCGCATGAGAGATAACCATCCACATGTTCCATGGTCACGGGAATGGCGGAAGCTTACATTATATGATCACTGGCAAACAATGAGAGACATCATCCAGAATGTTGTCGTGGACGATGTACCTATGTCACACCACACACCCAGAAGTAGAAGAACATGGGTTAGGCGTGGCAATAAAAGCCTGCTACAGGCGAAGAGGAGGGACCGGAACAAGTGGAAGGTCTGCTTGAAGGATTCCGATCGTAGATCTTACCAAGACCAAAGTTCGAAGTGATAGGAGACGCTTTCAGATGAAGCCAGATGTCCAAATACATGCAAACCCCAATCACCTGCTTAGGTTCATGACACAAAGAAAATCTACGAATCAGGGTTTGTGTTATCTCAAAGGTCCGAGTAGGGAAGACCTCACCAACCTAGAGACGGGGACCATCTCGGGTCAATTTCTCTCCCTGATACTTACTAACGACCTGTTAGGCACAGTTAGCTCTCCGGCATTGATCTACGCAGAGGATGCAAAGATCTGGAGGTCCATTAGAAGCGAAGTGGACTGGACTGAGCTTCAAAAGAACAGTACATCCATTCATTGAGGATTGGGTAGTGATAAACGATTTAAAACTAAACCAGCCGAAGTGTCATGTCATATACACCCTCAATGGAAGTTCGCTCCCTAATGTCTCCTCAGAGTGTGATCATTGTTTAATAACCACAGAAAACCGCCACACAAACCCGAACGATGTAGGAGACGCAGCCAAGGCAAGAGCATTTCTTCATTTCATGCGAGGACAACTTGATGCTATCACCCAGAGTTATTCTTATCATTATCTAAAACAAATGCACATTCATAACTTAAGGTTAACATCGTCATCGCACCCCTTCTTAAAAGCGACATAAATCGAGAGCAGAGACGATCAACGAAATGGTGATAGGGTCGAAGAACAAACCTTACGAAGATAGAATCCAGTAATTCAGAATAGTTTCTACATTGCAGGAGAATCAGAGGTGACCTGATTCTGGCGTGCAGCACATCAATCGAGCCAAACCATCCCAACGTGAGCATTTTACCGATGCATCAACACATCTCCCCTAGAGGCAATCCTCGAAAGATTGCATATCAAAGAGCGAATACTCAGATTCGTGCACAATTTTGCTCAGTGAGAGCCGTCTTAACTTCAAGCTCTCCAAGCCGAGGTGACCACAGCCCTCTCAGTTGACAGCTTTAAGAAGAGACTTGATAATCATGTACTCGTTTACGGATTATCATCTCCCTCGTGGATCAGCTGTGCCTGATGCATCTCTTGATACTTGCTAGTTGTTATCATTGCCATCTCCTCAGATCTCTAAACAATCTTTCTCGATTATTATCTCTGTTTCCTCTCCCTTTCTTACACTTCCGTCTTCTCCCACAATCTTCACTACCAATTAATAAATTAAATTAACTATTGATTTACTTAGTTATGAAATCTTCTTATTAGCATTAGAATTTTCTTCTCCACATTTCAACTGACTGATTTTCTGTCTCGTAAAGTGATAGCTGCTGGTATCCAGAAACCCAACTTTTCTGAAACAGAGGTTTTCATTCAAATCACGAGACACGAACTCATAACCAACTGCAAACTGGCTAGAATTAGAAAATGTAGTGGCTAGACCCACTTCCATTGGGCAGTACCAAATACCTGAAACCGTACTGAAGGAACAAAAAGGGAGCGCAAAGAAATCAATTGGTGTATACTAGCTCGTGAAAAAGATATTGGATAATGGCTGAAATCTTCAACACTAACTTCACTGATCAGTTAGACCAGGCATCCAATACGCAAACCCAGTGCCAGCTGACGGCTTAAAGAATATCTGTATTACTCCCTATTTAGTACTAAGGAAAGAAATCAAATGTTTTATACTAGTTCATGATAAAGATATTGGATATTGGATATTGGATGTGTGACCGTGGGGGGTTTAACATAGGCGGGTTATGATTCAGACAACTGAAGATTTGTGTCGGAAACTTCAGAGCCTGGATAATGAATGGAGCAAGAAAAATCATGATGTTGAAGAATGTCTCAAACGAGTTGAAGAAATAACTGTGAGTGGTGTGCCTTTTCTAAGTAATATTAGTCTGGATTAATTAGATGTGCATTCTTACCAAAAAATGAATCCGAAGCTTCTCGACGAGAGCTTCTTGTTGCCAGTATGTTAATTTCTTCTCACAAGTTTATATTTTAAGGAAGTACACTGGAAATCGCAACTATGTTGTGTACCGAAAAGCAGGATATTCCAGCTTTCGAACATTATATGTCTCAGCTAAAATGCTACTATTATGACTATAAGTACGTCCAACGTGTATGTCCTATTATCTCTATTTCAGGTCGAACCTACCTGATTCACCTTATAAGTACGAACTTCTTGGGCTAAATCTACTATTCTTGTTGTCGCAGCGTAGACTGGCTGACTTCCATATTGTAAGTATCGTATTAATTGCTTACCAAGGGATAGGAGTTAGAGCGACTCACAATAGAAGAAATCACTTCCAGTGTATATATAAACCATCCGGTTTCTATGGAGCAGTATTTAATGGAGGGTAATTTTCACAAGGTCTTCTTGTCCAAAGGTAACGTGCCGTCCAAGAGATATGATTTCTTCATTGATATATTTTTAAACGCAACCAGGTAAATATTCACACTGAGTAATCTTTTTCTTAGAGATGAAGTTGCCTCTTGCATAGAACATGCATATGAAACCTTGTCGCTCAAAGATGCCACTCCTATGTTGTTTTTTAACTCCACTGAAGAAACAAAACTTTTCGCAGAAAAGGTATGTGTTTTGATGCACCCTAACATTCTATAGAGAACATGGAATTTAGTAAATGGTACCTTTCACTTCCCTAAACATAAGAAACGAGCAGATGACTCCATCCCATCAGCACACGTGACACGGGTAATGCTCGATTACACGAAGGAACTGGACCAAATAATTTGAATGACAACCAATCAAGAATATAATTTGTTGTATCTACCCTTGAGGACAAATAAAATTTTGCACGTTTAATGTTACCTAATTTATTAAGTCAGTGTATGAAGGCTTTTTAGAAACTATGCTACTCGTATCAGTCAGTCAGTCAGATGCAACGAAGAACTTTGTACATAAGTACATCAGTTCATGTTGCCATACCACATCAGCACAGAGAAGTAATCGTCAATTCAAATCCAATAGTAGAAGAGGTAGTAAGGGAATTAGAAATAATCGGAGAGGTTAGGATTAGAAGATACTTATTCAAGAAGTATGATTCAGTGAGATAAGTTTAGAGAGTCGAAACTAGAGGGGTTGAAGAATAAAGAAGATTAGTATTTGAGAGAACACAGAGAATAAATGCACCGGCGCCCTTGCGAACGATTTTGAGCCATGTCATTCAAGGTCTCTAACCATCGATTATTATCATCTCGCGGACCCCAACCAGGTAGTCGACAATTACCGACATGGCTAAGTCCACTAGTAAATGACTTCATGGATTTATGCCATGTTTTGGTCTGGGCGCCCCTAACTTTCTTCCAACCTATTCCTACACTACAAAACAAGGCTCGACGAGGCAGTCGGTCGTTGGGCATACGCAACACATGTCCCAACCACCTCAACTGGTGAAGTTTCAATACTTCATCGATTGATCTGCCATTCTTACCTAGCACCCGATTCCTAATAACAGCGTTGCTCACTCGGGTGTCCCAGGATATACGAGCAAGGCTTCGAAGACACCTATGATCGAAAACCAGTAACCTACGAATATCTTCTACTCTCATTGGCCATGTTTCACAGCCATAGAGTAAGACGGAGCGAACCACTGCGCAGTACACTCGTCCTTTAGTCAGCAAACGGATATATATGACGCAGGTCGGCAAAAGCCAATCGAGCCTTCTGTATCCGAGCTGAGATTTCGTCAGTCACCAGGCCATCGGCACTGATGAGACTCCCCAGATAAGTGAAGCGGTCTACACGCTCGATTACTTCACTCCCTATCACTAGTTCAGGTGCCGATGCAACCCAATCTTGAAGCAACATTTTGCATTTCGAGGGGGAAAATCGCATCCCGAACATGCTTGCATTGTTGCTTAGGGTAGTTAGAAGACTCTGCATTTTGTCAGTATCTTCACCAAGTAGGACTATGTCATCGGCATATTCTAAGTTAATAAGCGAGCCACCTGGTAGAAGGTCTACTCCTGAAAATTCAGATGAGGATAATGTTATGTCTAGGAGCATGTCTATGATAAAATTAAACAAGAATGGAGAAAGTGGACATCCCTGACGGACACCACTTGATGTAGAGAATTCCGGTGACAGTTCGCCATAGGCTCTCACTCGACCAGTAGTATTCGAGTAGAGGGCTTGTATGAGGTTAATGTACTTCTTTGGTACACCTTTCAATGACAGACACTGCCGCAGAACCTTACGATCAACAGAGTCAAATGCCGCCTTAAGGTCTAGGAAAACAGCTATTGTAGGACGCCTAAATGTGTGTCTATGTTCCAGGACCTGTCGTAGTGTGAAGACGTGGTCTATACAGCCACGCCCTGGTCGAAAACCAGACTGGTTTTCTCGAGTCTGCTCTTCACGAGCTTTCGTTAAGCGTCGAAGTATTATTGAGGCCAGTATTTTAGATACTATATTAGTTAGACTTATTCCCCTGTGATTGTCACAAGAAGACTTTTGTCCTTTGTTATAGATTGGGACAATCAGTGATTGAGACCAGTCGGATGGGATTACGTCCAGTTCCCAGATTCTACCTAAGATCTCAGTCAACCTAGCTGCTAAAACTGGACCACCATCCTTAAATATCTCAGGGGTCAGTCTATCAGGACCTGCAGCTCGTCCTCGTTTCAGATTTCCTAACGCTTTCTCAACGTCATTAAGATTAGGGGGACTTAGGTCGATTTGCCACTCAGGATGACTGGAGATCGTGGGTAACCGAAGAGTGGCTCGAGGCCAGTTGAACTGATTCCTTAAGTGTTCTGCCCATCGATCCAGTCTCCTGGATTGAGAATGGATAATAAGACCATCCTTTTCTGAGGTAGTCTCACTCACATTTGGGTTCTTAATACCAGTTTCTTTAATAAGGCGGAAAAGTTGTCTGGTATTGCCTATCGCCGCTGCCTTTTCCATCGCTTTTGCTTTCGCCACCCACCACTGTTCGCTACTCGTATAGTGTATAATTTTTTTTACTCCTACCGCGATAATCATAGACCCTCTTGGTTACGAATGTTTTGAGTTATTTATTAATAGGCTTGTAAATCTCTTAGTACTGAATCCGAATTTTCTGTGGATTAATTTGATTTGATAATTGACCAATTACGTTTATCATTAGTATCCTCATGACAGTTTGTGCCGTAGTATGTAAACAATCTAAAAGGGACCAAGAAAATACAATGGTGTCAGTTCTGCTCACAAGCAAACAAAGCATCAATCCATAAAGTCATTGAGAATATAACAGGCACGTTGACAGGCTTTAGACTACATAGTTGGGTTTCTCATGACAATCGTAACTATTGGTTAGAGACTTCGAAGGACAGCTCAAAATCGCCTGCAATGGTGCAGGTGCATCCATCCTTTGTCCTGAATTCCCTGACTTTTCACTGGGTTATACTTCTCGGATCATATATTCGACTCCCAATCTTTTCCATTATTGCTAATATTTCTACTGCCTCTACTTCTCTGGGACTTGTTGTGGTAATTTTATCTCCAGTTCCCCACTCAATATCAGGATAGTGCGAAGTAATTAGTCAGGAGGATAATGCGTAGACAATGATATTGATGGAAAGCCGAAAGAACAAATGATATTGAGAGATGAGGTTGAATTAAGGAATTTTGGGAATTAGCGGATGCGTCTCCACCCAAGGTCTGAGGGCGAAGTCGTACTGGTGACTGCAGAGAGGTGTGACGGCAGTAAGGTGTTCCCCTCGGACAACCAGCATATGCAGCGATGCTGCCTTCTGACAAGGAAGGAAGGGTTAGAAAAGGTCGACCCTAAAAATGTCACACCTCACCCTACCTCACGGATTTCCGTCTCCGGCGGTAAGGGTGCCCACTAAGTGCTTTCAAGAGCGGAGCTAATACTCATAAATCCGTTCATAAAAAGGCCGTGCGTGACCGGCCTCAAACAGTTGTCCCTTGGGCTCTGCGGTCACGCACCCAGGTCTCTAAGACCTTTTCAATTCCCTCAAGAAACAACCTTCCACGGTGTGGACAGCTAGGAAGTGACAACCGCCCTCATACCCGTAGCAGCACACGAGACCAAATTGGTCAAAATCAAATCCTTCCTACACCCCCTGGTACCTCTCTTATCTCCACGACTAACTCTTCTCACGTTCCTTTATCACAGTGCAGAACTATCTCTCCTTGACTGGATCCCTGTAGATAGTCGTTTGTGCGCCGTCCGACTGAACGGGACAGTAAGGATTCGAAAGGATAGGGAAACTCGTCGTTGCCTCTTCGTCATATCTGCCTATGCCTCCAATGACTGCAGTTCAGACGAGGTGAAAGACGAGTTGTACAGAAAGCTTTCGGACCTCCTCCAAAACGTTAGGCACTCTGATGTAGTAATAATGGTTGGTAGGTAGACTGAGTGAAAATGAAAGACACCTAGGTGGATGTTATGATGTCGCGGCTCAGAGAACAGACAATGGTGACCGTCTGTTGCAACTGTGCTCAGTTAACCGCCTATTTCTAGCGAACACTAACTTTAGGCATAAAGAAAAGCATCTCTCGACCTGGTGACCCCCGAAGTCGTCTCAACGTTGGATGCAACTAGATCACATCGCCATCAGCCACCGATGGAGAGGTCCGACACAGGACTGCCGCTCGTTCTGGGGCAACAGTAAACAACTTTTCCGGCTTATCAAGGAAACTGGTATTAGGAATCCTAGTGTAAGTGAGACTATCTCGGAAAATGATGATACTATTATTTATTCTCGATCCAGGAGACTGGATCGATGGGCAGAACACTTAAGGGATCAGTTCAACTGGCCTCGAGCCACTCTTCGGTTACCCACGATCTCCAGTCATCCTGAGTGGCAAATCGACCTAAGTCCCCCTAATCTTAATGACGTTGAGAAAGCGTTAGGAAATCTGAAACGAGGACGAGCTGCAGGTCCTGATAGACTGACCCCTGAGATATTTAAGGATGGTGGTCCAGTTTTAGCAGCTAGGTTGACTGAGATCTTAGGTAGAATCTGGGAACTGGACGTAATCCCATCCGACTGGTCTCAATCACTGATTGTCCCAATCTATAACAAAGGACAAAAGTCTTCTTGTGACAATCACAGGGGAATAAGTCTAACTAATATAGTATCTAAAATACTGGCCTCAATAATACTTCGACGCTTAACGAAAGCTCGTGAAGAGCAGACTCGAGAAAACCAGTCTGGTTTTCGACCAGGGCGTGGCTGTATAGACCACGTCTTCACACTACGACAGGTCCTGGAACATAGACACACATTTAGGCGTCCTACAATAGCTGTTTTCCTAGACCTTAAGGCGGCATTTGACTCTGTTGATCGTAAGGTTCTGCGGCAGTGTCTGTCATTGAAAGGTGTACCAAAGAAGTACATTAACCTCATACAAGCCCTCTACTCGAATACTACTGGTCGAGTGAGAGCCTATGGCGAACTGTCACCGGAATTCTCTACATCAAGTGGTGTCCGTCAGGGATGTTCACTTTCTCCATTCTTGTTTAACTTTGTCGCAGACATCATCTTAGCGTTAACATTAAGCTCGTCAGATTTTTTAGGGGTTGACCTTCTATCAGGAAAATAGTTTACTGATCTAGAATATGCAGATGACATAGTTCTATTCGGTGAAGATACTGACAAAATGCAGAGTCTTCTGACTACCCTAAGCAACAATGCAAGCATGTTCGGGATGCGATTTTCCCCCTCGAAATGCAAAATGTTGCTTCAAGATTGGGTTGCATCGGCACCTGAACTAATGATAGGGAGTGAAGTAATCGAGCGTGTAGACCGCTTCACTTATCTGGGGAGTCTCATCAGTGCCGATGGCCTGGTGACTGACGAAATCTCAGCTCGGATACAGAAGGCTCGATTGGCTTTTGCTAACCTGCGTCACTTATGGCGCAGGCGAGATATCCGTTTGATGACTAAAGGACGAGTGTACTGTGCAGCAGTTCGCTCCGTCCTACTGTATGGATGCGAGACTTGGCCGTTAAGAGTAGAGGTCTTCCGTAGATTACTAGCCTTCGATCATAGGTGTCTCCGAAGCATTGCTCGTGTATCATGGGTCGTTAGTAAACGAGTTCTAGGTAGGGACCGCAAATCCATAGATGAAGTTCTGAAACTTCATCAGTTGAGATGGTTGGCACATGTTACGTATGCCTAACCACCGACCGCCTCGACGAGCTATGTTTTGCAGTGTAAGAGTAGATTGGAAGAAAGCTAGGGGCGGCCAAACCAAAACATGGCAGAAATCCATGAAGTCACTGACATGTGACTGAGTCGTGTTGGTAGATGTAGGTTACCTGGTTGGGGTCCGCGAGACGAAAATCACCGATGGTTAGAGACCTTGAACGACATGGCTCAGAATCGTTTGCAATGGCTCAGGTGCATCCACTCTTTGTGTTCTATGAAATTCTAAGCTTCTGCATTCCTCATAATCTCTATCTTTCTCCTAAATTAATCTCACTGAATTATACTTTTCGAATCATATCTTTGCTCCCTAATCTTCTTTATTACTGCTAATACTTCTATTATTGCTATCACTCTTGGATTTGAATTGACAGTTGCGTCCCTGTGCTGATGGGGCATGACAATCTGAACTGATGTACGTACCTACGAAGTTCTACGTCGTATCTCTCTGTCTGTCTGTTTCCGTCCTCGTTCCGGAGGTATATCTAAGGTTTCTAACCCTTAAGTTGTCTGTAACTCCTCTTGAAAAGCTGGTACCTAGTAACACGGTTGTAACCAGGATTTACAGAATAATGACGTGATAATTGTCCTTAAACTTTTTCAGAATAAATAGCCGTGTAGTTCGTTGCATTTCCCTTACTAGACTCATCTTCGAAGTTATCGAATAATCCCTATATCGAGATATAATAATTACAAGTATTTGAGACAGAACTGGAAATCAAAATAGTGAGGTCTGTTAGTACACTATACATATTCCTGAACAAACTCCTACATTGGTTTGGGCAGTTTCGCCAGCCCTCAGAGCTTACTCTAACGCCGAGCACGTATCTATGCCCAATAATTGTGCTACATTATCATGTTTAAAGTCATTGGAAGATAGATAAAGGAAATATTAAAGGAAGTGAGGCAACCATTTTCCGGGGTTCAATAATTGACGAGATGGATTGAGCAATAAGCAAAGGTCAGATGTGTTTACGTAAGTGTTGGAATTGGGTGAGTGAGCTGACACTTCAAAGTCTAGGTGGAGATTGCATAGTACATTCAAAGAACAACAACAATTGGAGACTTCGTAAAAATTATGAATTCAGTCTGACTCAATAGCTAATGCTTCAACGAAGCTTAAATAGGTTGGATTTTTTTTAGTTTATTAACTACTTTGGAGGATTTGTGGAAGTCGAAAACACGTCTTCTATCGATCAAATGTCCAGTTATTGCAATGTGCTTACGAATAGGAATATATTGTTTTCTTTTATTTCAGTGTACGTATTTCCTCATGTGAATGATGTTAATTAATTCACTTTAAAGTGCTGAACAACGAAATCTTGGTTTATTTATTCAGCTGTAAAACATATATTTTGTTTTAGGTCTAGGGATACAACTTAGTTAGTTAAATTTGACTAGATAGGGTTTCGGATCATCAACTCAATGGTTGAAAGTCAAGCGCTCTAATCACGCAATCACCTCTGTATAGCAATCGTGTTCCCTATACTGTACTGTAAGTGTCCGTATACTCAGAAGTGAACACTACAAAGCCATCCCTAAAAGATGTGTCAATGCTTATCGAGACATGTAACTGTGTAAGCTGTGTGATCTGCCGTATATTCAACCCCAATTTATTTGTTCAGAATAAATTCGTGACACCTTTATCCCTTCCGTGGCCGGATATATCTTAACAAACGAATTTAAAATCTCTTTATTTTCTAACATTAGAATTATTTTCGCATCCGGTATTTCTTTGTAAATTTCCGTCTCTTTCCATTTATGCTCTTCACTATCTAATTATTTACACTTTAATTATTACATTATTGTTTTAATGTTTTGTGATGATTATTTTAAGTTGATTTATCCACGTTTTGACCTATTTTCAATGTTGAATTATTGATAAAACTTTTGTTATCGTATTTTATTATTCTTACTACTATCAATACACCAGTCTTCCTACTATCAACTTATACTTTTACCTATTATGTGTGGTGAAGTTATCTATTTCATTGTGATTATTGACTCAAATTGCCTTGATTGGTTTAACATTATCATATTCTTGTATATTAGAGTAAAGCCTGATGATGATGTAATTGAAAATATTGTTCGCTTACATGTGTAGTTCTGACAGTTTTTCATCTGTCAAGGTAAATTATTATAATTTATACGTTTTCAAATCTCGCCGAAGTTTACCCACTTGTTTATCTTCTATGTAAAACTAGATTTTTTATATTTATACTTGATTACTTAGGTCTGAACAGGTTTTCTACTACTTAAAAGTAATCAAAAGTTTCCAGTTTTTAAGAAAATCTGTGAATACTTTCGCCATTCCCTTCAGTGAACAATTACCACATGATGCTCTGGGAAAGAAATGCAGATGATTTCACTAATTATAGATTCCATAAACTATAACTGTTGATAATTTATCCTTGTTATATATATCCTAAATAACTAAATGTACATGAATAGCTCATAACACTGCGTGACTTTATCTAATGTTAATAGTTATAAAACGTTGATAAAATTTTAAATAAATAGGTATAATCATGATTAAAGCATGAACTGGGAATGAACAGGATTTTATATTAAATAAATATTAATAATATTGGGCAATAATTAAAAATGTTTCCAAGTTTTTGCTTTGTTCGTCCTTAATGAATATATATATTTGTTCCGAATCTGATGTTGCTTGCGGAATAAAATGTAGTCCAATTTGAATTGTTTCTGCTGCTGGGATTTCTATTATGGACTCCTGATTTTATCCCCAATTCACATTGTATACAAAAAAGAGTGAAGTGAGAACATGTAATTGTTAGTATATATATAGACATATATAATTTGGGTGAAAATTAAGACATGAAAAGCAAATAAAATTAAGTTCTGTTGAATGATACTTTTGTGTTTCAAGATATACATCACATAAACGGTTTTCTAAAAATCACTGGTTTCTAATAGCTGAGTGCGTATGACCATCTATTCTCTTTGTTTCAATATTACCTTTCACTTTTATCACCCTGAAACATTCTTTACTTTTGAACTACATTTATTCGTCGTGATGTAGTTGGTACTGATGTTATCTAGACGTTTTCGACATTCATTTTGTTAATTTCATCATGATATAATATGGAGGCTTGAATTGATGGGCATTCACCTCAGTTAGTATGTTGATTGTAAGTGACCAATTAGACTTGCATTTAAGACTTTTATGGCTTTCACAGCTTGTGTATTGTTACGCCCAGTTATCAATAAATCAAAGAATTAAAGTTACTAAACAATAGTGACTACCGTTAGTATTTCAGTTCATTTTTTTATGTTGTAATTAAATATTAGTTATATGGTTTAAGGATTTGAATGAAGTAAACTGCTATCGTTGCGTTACTGATTTCTCATTAATTCCGTTTGTTGTGAACATATGAAACTAATTAGGAAAAACATTACTAATCTACGATACCTAACTAATCGCATTAGTTGTGTCTAGACACATTTAGAATTTTGATTTGCATCCATCCACGAAACAAAGATAAGCCTACTTCTCATACCAACGTGTTCCTTATCTTTTTCATCTGGTAGCTTGTTAATATTATCAGTATTTCATAGTTTTATAAGTTCTGTTCTTGAATTCTTGAAGTTTTTCTTTTATGAATCGTGCAAACTTTGATGCGTCACTGTTTCGAATTATCGATTGCTTTTCATGTGTCTCCATTTTATGTGAATACGTAATAAATAATGGTGTTATCTTCACTGTCCTCATATTTATGCTAAAATTCCGAAATTCAATGAACTAGATTTTTTAAAATTTCACTGATCACAATTATGAAGACTAATTTCATTGAAAATTATTCCATAATAGGTAAATACATATGATGAAAAAATACACAAAAGTTCAAACTCATTTTCCACATTACCTTAAATTGAACTAAATCAGATCTGTTAGTTTCCAGTATTATTGTTTTATTGTATTGATATGGATTTGTGTAAGCAATACGTTTATTACAAGTGGTAGTCATTTGTTGTTTTGGTAATTTTATATTAAATGATTTTGTTATTTCTGGTTGTCTAGCATCTACACATAGAATCCATGCACGTACTACACATTGACTAATTGTATCCACTACATTGATTTGATAAATTTTCTTACCAACATATTTTGGACATAGTCTAATCTGTATACATATGTATGTATATTTTTGAAAATAAATTTCACGTAATAAAATGTACATTATTTTCTAAATTATAAAATAAATATTATATTTATGCACAACAGAAATATAAACAATAAAATACATTTTATTATCAAATATAGTCTAAAGAGAAAACTTTACAAGTGTATCTTGTGTTATGTAAATGTTATTTTGATTTTGATTGATATTATTAGTTAACACTTAATAACGTTAACATTTCTACTAGAAATTTTTTTGCATTTAGAACAACTGCTGATAAGTCCCATACCAGGACGAAACGGCCGTCCAGTGCTTCCAGGTTTCTAATGGTGGTCTAACACTGATCGATTCATGGTAACAGAGATATTTATGTATAAATGAATGAAAATAATATTATCTATTCTGTCCTACTACTTATAGTTAGTTATTCAATAAACTGATTGAAAAATATGAGTAGAAATCTTATTGAATAAATAATCTAATGCCGACCATATTATTGAAACAAATAATATTTAATACTCAACTTCCACTGGTAATTTTCAATGTACGTGATACTTTCTGAAATTCTAAACTGCTCAAAGATGAGTAGAATTCATAGATGCAGTTTACTGACTGAAATTCAAGCTCTTGGACTAACTACTATGCATAAACTAATTGGAATCACTATTGATACTCTAATATGAACTAAATAGAGTACATTTAATAAAAGGATTCAAATCTCTTTTAACTATACAATTTTTCTGTAAACTTTTTTGAAAATGAAACTTACTGAGTAACAAATATATTTAAGCCTTAAGTAATCAAGGCTACCTATACACAACTCCAAACCATTTCATCGATCCACTTTATGATATGTGACACTAATCTTCAAAAAAATGCATATAACTTCCATCTGAAAATTTCAACTTTCTAAGGAGCTACATATTGTTTCTATCAGCATCTAAGTAAATTCAGTATTGTACGAATTCTGTAGAGAATTTACTTCTTGATGATTTCGAGTACTGATAAACAACAGAGTGTCGTATTTCAACATACTCCATAAATTGATATAAGTGGAGTATTTCTCAACAGTATTTTAACTGGTAAATAAATAAATAATAAGCTAACTCCAATGGTGTCTATTGGGAACATTAAAAATAACTATCAGACTGGCCTATAAATGTTTGTTTGAGAAATTAGTATTATATTAAGGTCCTATATTACCAAAAAGACTGTAAACTTTAACGATTAGTGTGGTAAATAAACGTTTGATTAAGATAAACTAACCTTTAACTCATAAACAGAACGTGATGAAACACATAATGTTAATTCTTTACCCGGACAATTTTTCTGAAAGTTATTGGAATTAAATTCTGTACCAATGAAAACTTCATTTGGATGACTGGTATATACAGTGATACGTTTTGAACTGATATTTGATATACAATCATCTGTACGTAATAATAATCCTATAGGAGGTGATAATTGTCCAACTGTAGCTATGGCATCAACACGTTGAAGTGAATGTATAGCCCAATACCATACATAAGCTGGACGAATTTGAAACGGTTCCACGTAAACACTGATAAGAAATTCACGTACCTACAATTTCAAATAGTAATAGATGTGAATAAAACTGATAATAGGCAAGAATTTTATAATTTATAAATGTATTGACTGTTCTCTGCTCAATTCTTCCCTGTATGGTATTACGTTCATTTGACAGACTTTACTTGATTGGTAGGCGATTAAGAATAAGTATTAGTTGAAAATGAAACTTAGAACACAATGTAACAGAATGAAGAACAAAAAATAAGAATTCGTATTCTATGGGCAAGAGAATGATTATCGATTCTCGGGTATTCACAAGTAGGTAGACTAAGTGAAAATGAAAGACTCCTCGGTGGATCTTATGGTGTCGCTGCTCAAAGAACAGATAATGGTTCCGTCTGCCGCAACTATGCTCAGATAACCGCCTATTCCTTGAAAAAGCTAACTTTAGGCATGAGAAAAAACATCTGTTGACCTGGCGACCTCCAAAGTCGTCTCAACGTTGGACGCAACTAGATCACATCGCCATCAGCTACCGATGGAGAGGTTCCATAGAGGAATGTTGCTCGTTCTGGGGCACATGTCTAGATTCAGATCATGCCCTAGTGCGAGCGCGTATTTGTTTGAGGCTTACTGGACGTAGGAAAGACACGGCAAGGAAACCTCTTAGGGTTTTACTTAATGATAATGAAGCTAAGAATATATTCCAAGAACAACTAGAGAGTTAGGCGACCATACAAGTGATTCCCATCCGCAGGCAGCTTGGAATGATATCAAAAAGGCTGTGGAAACAGCAGTGATATCTGCTAGTAAGGTTGACCATAAGGCTAGAATGAAACGTGGATCTCAGTAGCATCCACCGACCTGATGGATGCCCGAAAACTCATCACACCTGGCTCTGAACAGGACGAAGAGCGAAGTCAGCTGAGGAGCAGACTAATAAAAAGCCTACGTAACGACCAAGTCATTCTGAATGGCAAATCGATTTAAGTCCTCCTAGTCTACATGAAGTTGAGAAGGCTGTAGGAAATCTAAGGAGAGGTAGAACAGCAAGTCCTGATATGCTTACCCCTGATATGTTTAAGGATGGTGGTCCAGTTTTAACAGTTAGACTGACCGAGATCCTAGGTGGAATCTGGGAACTGAACGTAATCCCATCTCAGTTGTCTCAGTCGCTAATTGTCCCAATCTACAAGAAAGGACAAAAGTCCTCTTGTGACAATCACAGGGGTATTAGTCTAACTAATATAGTTTCTAAATTGTTAGCCTCCATTATACTTAGACGTCTAACTAGAGCTCGAGAAAACCAGTCTGGTTTCAGACCTGGACGTGGATGTATAGACCACATCTTCACACTAAGACAGGTCCTGGAAAACAGACACACATTTAGACGTCCGACAATAGTCGTGTTCCTGGACCTAAAAGCGGCATTCGACTCTGTGAATCGTGAGGTTCTGTGGCAGTGTCTGTCATTGAAAGATGTACCAAAGAAGTACATTAACCTCATACAAGCTCTCTACTCGAACACTACTGGTTGAGTGACAGCTTATGGCAAAATGTCATCTGAATTCTCTACATCAAGTGGTGTCCGTCAGGGATGTCCACTCTCTCCATTCTTGTTTAATTTTATCATAGACATGCTCCTAGATATAACCTTATCCTCGTCAGATTTTTCAGGCGTTGACCTTCTAACAGGAAAATCGCTTACTGATCTAGAATATGCCGATGACATAGTTCTATTCGGTGAAGACGCTGACAAAATGCAGAGTCTTCTGACTACCCTAAGCAACAATGCAAGCATGTTCCGGATGCGGTTCTCACCCTCGAAATGCAAAATGTTGCTTCAAGACTGGGTTGCATCGGCACCTGAACTTGTAATAGGGAGTGAAGTAGTCGAGCGTGTTGGTCGCTTCACTTATTTGGGGAGTCTCATCAGCGCTGATAGCCTGGTGACTGACGAAATCTCAGCGTGGATACAGAAGGTTCGATCGGCTTTTGCCAACCTGCGTCACTTATGGCGTAGGCGAGATATCCGTTTGCTGACTAAAGGACGAGTGTACTGCGCAGTAGTTCGCTCCGTCTTACTTTATGGCTGTGAAACATGGCCAGTGAGAGTAGAAGATATTTGTAGGTTACTGGTTTTCAATCATAGGTGTCTTCGAAGCATTTTTCCTATATCGTGGGACAACCGAGTAAGCAATGCTGTCGTTAGGAAACGAGTACTAGGTAAGGATGGCAGATCAATAGATAAAGTATTGAAACTTCAGTTGAGGTGGTTAGGACATGTTTTACGTATGCCCAACCACTGACTGCCTCGACGAGCTATGTTTTGTGGTGTAGGAGTAGGTTGGAAGAAAGCTAGGGGCGGCCAGACCAAAGCATGGCAGAAATCCATGAAGTCACTGACAAGTGGACTGAGTCATGTTGGTAGATACAGACTACCTGGTTGGAGTCTGCGAGACGAAAGTCACCGATGGTTAGAGACCTTGAAGGAAATGGCTCAAAACCGTTTGCAATGACGCAAGTGCATCCATTCGTTGTGCTCTCTCAAATCCTAATCTTCTGGATTCTTCAGCACCTCTACCTTTGTCTTTCTAACCTTGTATCACTGAATTATACTTCTTGAATAATATCTTCAAACCCTAGTCTTCTTCATTACCATTAATACCTCTACTATCTTTATCACTATGGGATTTGATTTGACGTTTGCGTCTCTGTGCTAGTACGGTATGGCAACATGAAATTATGTACATGCGTACGTAGTTCTACGCTGCGACTGACTTGGTATTCACAATTACGAATATTTGATTTCTGAATAAAATTTTACAATCTGACAGAAATTTAAATTATGCATATATATATATATTCATAATTGAAGTTATAAAGAAAAGCTTATGTTAAAAATTCTTAAGTTTGGCAGAAAATACCACATTTTCTTAAAAATTCCTTCTTTATGAGAAGAATATATATTTTCATGATTTACAAGTGTAATACTTTACAATTTAGAGAATTCTGTCACATTTTACTTTCAGTATCACACAGGTTTTTTTTATAAACAGGCAATGAGTTCTATTACAATTAGGAAGGTTTTAAAGAATGGTTAGAATGATTGTCAAATAATGCCAAACATAAAATTATATTGATCGTTTCCTGGTCCATTTGTTAAATATATATAGAATAAACGCCTTAAGTCCTAATATAACGGCAAAATAAGAGGTTTACCACGATATAATGCCATTGTAACATGATAATACAACCTAGTTAGACTGGATATTTCATGGATACACTTTTAGATTGGGGTTACGCTATACCAGATATGCCATTTGCTACCAAAAGTACAGAATGAGATTACAAGTCAGAAAACCATTTATTTAACACACCATGTTCAGTTCATACATGGAGTGAGTTCAGGATAGAAATAAATTTTTAATATGCAATACAATCTATATGATAGTTTACACAGAGACTAGTCTGTTTGTTTACAGCAAGTGGCCAATCACAACTCAGTATCATACGAAATATCAAATCATATTACTATGGATATCTTATCAGCGCAACATTATAGTTCCATGCTAAAACAATACAACTATCCGATAACCCACTGTTTTCGATGGTATTCCTTGTGATACCCGTCTCTGGTGAATCTAACCTACGTACATACATATCAGTGTATATACAGACATATACTTTCTGAATATTTACTTGCTATAACCAAGCATGTCATACTGAATAAACCTGGATCATAATTTTTTTCATAATTATTTATAAGCTGATCCAACTGAAATGAAAAATATATAGATTTTGTGTTTGTCTTGATACTCATGTGAAGTAAGTAGTACAAAATAATTTTCAAAAAATATCATTCAATTGGATTTAGTTCAGTGATATTTTTCACTGACTGTTAATCAGTCTTTGTTGGTATATGGGTATTCTGAGAGGATCGCCACAATATAGCATTTATGATAAAAAAAATATAGAATGTGGCCAGCAGTGGAATCCAGAACGTTTTATAAGTCAGCGGCTATCTGGATTCAGTAGCTAGGAGGATAAAGAGATAACGTGAGAAGCAAGTGGTACTGTATTCAAGTGCCAGAGTGAACACATACTACGCTGGGATGCAGTTAAATCCAGCTGGTGAATTGAAAATAGGACGGAATGCATGCCCTGAATTCCACTGCTAGCCACATTCCGAATCAAAAAGTGATTTCAATTTTTTCGACTGACTTGTGGAGATTTCCCAAGACCAACTTTAATCAGCAAATCAACTACATCACCTTGAACATTGGACAAAGTTAATACATCCGGATCGGATACTCTGACCCATATTTGTTGATTAGCTTGTTGAATTGCTCGATTGTTATTATTATTATTATTTCTCCAATCAATAGCACTTCGTGGCAGACGAAGAATTTTTTTCATGAAACTTAATTCAGGATGAAAAAATCGAAAACTATGATCAATTATCGGTGGTTGAATATGAATGTGTATTAGTAATTGTGAGATAATCTTCCCGTAAGTTGTTGATTTGAAAATTACCTTTTTTTTGTGGTAGAAAAGAAACAAAAACAAAACATTTTCCATATCTTAGAAAAAAAAATAGACATTGTTCATTGAACGTATGTATCTATCATCTTATAAAGTTAATTCATTTATGAGAAATCAAATAATGAAACAACATCTATATTCAAATGAATAAGGGGTGAAATCATCACAATACAATCAACAAATTCGACTGTAATTTATTAAACTTAGGATTGTTTGTTTGATAGTTTGCTTTTGATGCGTTATTAGTTGAAAAATTTAAGTGATAATTATAATCAGTTTGTTTATTTTGTTGAATTATTCAATTTTAAATGGCTTAACATACAGTAAGTACTAACTTCGTTTGTATCTTTAGTTGAAGCCAGAAATCTACAAGTGTTTTGGTATAAAATATAAATTTTTTTTTATATGCTGAAAGAAATATTATGTGTAAGTATAATGTTGTTTGTTAATTTGTAATGATGTTAATAACCTGTAACAAGTTTTGTAAACAACTCAAAATATCTTAAAAGTCACTGAGATTAATGTAGTTCTATTTTACAATGTGTCTGTTTTTGAATATAATTCACAAACAATGCTTATTTTGTCGATGGACTGGTATTTTATGAATAAATCTACTGTTGTTGATAAGTCTCAATTAGAGTTACTTGAATTTCCATAGTTTTAGAGCTATTTTCATTCAGTGGCCAAGTATTAGGATTATAGAACAAACAGAGAGACTTATTTGAGTGAATCTTATGTATATATATATATATATATATTCCTGTTTCTGTTCGACTTGCACTCACTCATAGTCAGATTCACTTTTTAAAAAAATGGTTCCTAACTTATGGTTTCATTTTTTCCATACAGCAGGCACCAAAATCGAAATTAATGTAATATCATTTTGTGCATTTATCAAACACCATAAGCAATTATTCTTAATATTAGAATGCGTTTCCATTTAACCAAATTACCTAATTGTAGTGAATAAAATCCATATGCTGTGGACTGTTGCTTAGAATTTACTACCTAACTGAAGAGTGTCGGATTCGGATGTATGATGGCCCAATCAAAGGTTTACAAAATTTGCTAGTAATAATAATCAGGTTGTGTGTGTTGCAGTCAGAACAATCGTGATAGAAATAAATTGGGAAAAATCCATGCGTAGATTAAGAAAGATGTAAATACAAACGAAAACAGAGGGGGGGGGAATAAGAGGTTTATCATATTCAGTTTAAGTTCTTAGTAACGATGTTGTAGACCAGGTAAACAGAGGTTGAATATACTTCTTTTGAATGCATAAGTTAGGTTTTCTGGAGTTGATGCAGACGGCTTCAGTTATGCAAAATGATCATAACCTAGCTCCTTTAGACAGAATGTTCGAAACTCGATATAAAAGAGAGAAAGCTTCATGTGTCAGTCAGTTTCGTTATTCCTTTTCCTAACTGCGCTGGTGCATGTTGACGAGCACGTTATTTCGTTATCTACATTATCCGCAGAACATAACTAACTTATATTTAAATGTTTTTTTTCTAACTAAAGAATCAACTATTTCTCTAGTACAATATTTTATACTCTTGAAAGTTCAATAAGAAATTGAATGTATAAAAATATTCCTAAACAGTGTTAATCATCTTCCGCTACAATCTATTTGATATAATTTGAATAAAAATTTTGATTGAAATAAATGTGACCTAACTAGTTACCACTCAAAATTAAAACAAGTTTATATTATTTTCTAAGTTAATTTATATACAACAATGAAAAAAAACAAGTATATCATTAAACACATCTTACTTGTATTACACGTTTCATTTCTGTAAGATTATTTTTATTACTTGGATTATATTCAGAAAACTATAGAAAAAAATAAAACAATTCATTAAAATTGAATCAATTTTAATTCAGTATTTAGTTGTTGATATTCCATTTCATTTGATCAGTAGCCAGTGTTAATTGGTGGTGGTTTGATGTATGTAAATAAATAAACATTGGTACAAAAGAAAATCGAAATATACAAATCATTGAATGTGTATGTGAACCAGGATGGTGTCCAGGTTTCTAAAGCGAAGGAGGTGAATTTTTAGGGTGCTTATTTCCGAGTCTTTGACATAGAAGTTTAATCCGCAAGGCAGTGGATCAATGTTAGGGGACGCGGTTTATAGTGGTTCATGAACAAATATTGTTTCACATGTCATTGTTTGTCACAAGATCCTGGGGCTCGTGTGCACCACTAGTTTTGAACAACTTCCCCAAAAGAATCCTTTATATCAATCAACCTGATCTATACACTGGACATTCGCTTTTTGTCCACTCAATTTCGTAGATACAAACCCCTGCCAACAGAAGAGGATGATTTGAACTCCCTTGACAATGGCCTTATATGCGTGACTGTATGGCAGAGCGTTTTGAGAAATAGAGCTGACTATCCGCACTCTTGGTCGCGTCAGAGCGTTTGGTGGCTATGTGCGCTCAGTAGTAAAGTTGGCAAACAAAATTGGGGTTTGGAAACGATAGATACCATGCTCGAGTTTCAGAGTAAACATCAACTCTGAGATCCAAATGAAATCAAACATATATCCCGCTAGTCCATTGACAGTCACAATCGAAATACCAGAAAAAGTTAAAAAAAAATGTAGAAAAATGAATCTTTGAAGATAAATTGACGATACATTCAGTTACAAGTAGTCAACGAAATCAAGCGACTAAAACTTACTAAATTGTGCAATGGAGATAAGTTCAACAATTAACAAATTGTTATATCTTGGACTGCATTCGTCTCAAATTTGAAATGGGGCGATGTAAGATCGTTTGCCTTAGTATGGCTAGTATTGAAGGTTCCAAAAAGAGTCAAACTCAAGTACTCTTCTCCTAATGGCGGACATCTCACTCCTAGGACAAACGCGGTGACGTCCAGTATCTCCATTACCAATTCAATCAACCAGCGATAAAGAACGATGATAATCCGATGAAAGTGGTGATAACTGTCTCACTCCTGACATGTTTGGCTTATAGTATTTCTTTAGGAATAATAAGCTTCGATTTCGATGTCTGTTCATTGTACAGTAGTTTCTAAGCCTTGGAATGCACTAAACTACATATCGCTTGCATCGATTAAAATCACCTTATAAAATAAACTGACTATAGTTACATTTTTTGTAGGGTTTTTCAATAAACCAGTTTAAGGATATTATGAAACAATGAGGGAACAAACTAGTAGATAAATAGATTACCGTTCTTTACCAATCAATCTGTACATCATAGTCCTGCTAACCAGACTTTAAACCAAGTATAAAACTCAACGTATGCCATTCACTACTAATTTGATACAGCTGCTTCAACCAGACAAATAAAAAGAAATTTTATCGACAAATATAAGTTTGTCGAGAAAATATCAGGCTTTCTGGTTTCTTGGTATGATATATTAGTGTATATAATTAAAAACTTCGATAACGTTGATACCTGATTAGTTGTCATTGTTTTTAGTTTACTGAGTATGTTATATGCTTCAAGGTCATGATGTGCTACGATAAGAACAGAATTGTCCCTTTGCAACTTCTGACTTGTACACAGAACGTGAGGGTTTCTTAAAGGCCCCATCCTGTACAATCTCTGTTCGTAAACCTCTCCCGGAGCCCCAAAAGGGCTACTGCCAGTCCCAAGCACGAATAAAGGAGGAGGGTTGGGCAGCCAGGAAGTAACATCCGCTCGCATACCCGTAAAAGTACTGGAGACCGAATCGGTCACAATCAAATCTCTGTTAGTATGTTGATTATTAATTTCATACTGTTGTTGTATTAGACATCCGATTTTTTCAAGCTCCTATTTGCTATGTAGTATTACAAGAAGCCTCAAACATTTTTGATTGAAATCTACAGATTATCCACTGCTAAATCAGAAAACCATGACTTTAGTTGTTCTTGTGAAAACAATAACATGATGAACTATAAGTAGTGATTAAAACTGCAGTGAATCTCTCGTAAAAAAATGTCATGTATATTATTATGCTATGTCATGTTTATCTATAAAAGGCATCAGTTTTATAGCAAACAAAGAACATGTTGTATCATAATACAATAAATTTACATTTTCATTTACTCCATCATATTGTTTAGTAGTATGAAACATTGTAAATTCTTCATATTTCATTGGGATTAGTACAGTTTCATTGGATTTAAGAAATAGGATAACATTGTTTCGTTTCAATGATTTTTTCTCATCATTAATTTCATTGTTATTTTCATAGTTATAATTTTGTTTCAAATCCAAAGCGAATAAATCATCTTCAGTTGGTGTATCAATATTAAATGCTAATTTTAATGCACGTACTTCACGTGGATCCGTAACAAAAGATAAAGAATTTCTATAAATTAAATTTAAAATTATTCACAAAACAAAAGAATTATTTCCATTCTAGTCTGTTTTACTTTATGATTATAAAATACTAATTTACAACTACGAGAGATTTATTATTTAATGTTGAAAAAAACATATGATACACATTGTTGAAACCATAAATTGATCAGTGCTAGACCATCATTAGAAACCTGGAAGCACTGGACGGCTGTTTCGTCTTGGTATGAGACTCATCAGCAGTGCGCATCCACTACTCCTGCACCCCGCAGGATTCGAACCCAGGACCTTCGGTATTGCACGTGAACGCCTAACCTCATCAGTTCTCATGGTCACCTTGAAAGTTTTGTTTTGACAACCTGATAGTTGTAGTTGGAAAACAGATCCGAAGTTCATGTGAATCGGGTAGAGCTTCATTCAGTGATCAATGTGTTCTCAGTAGATAAACATGAGAAAGCAACTTAACAGACTCCACAATCCCGTCATGCAATTACCTGTGCTCATTAGTGAAGCTTCGTGAGGTATCTTCTCCGAGTTCTAGTGGGAATTCGTGACCAGTGAAGTTTAACCTGTTCGGTTGTAGAGAGTAACTACCGAAGACTGTGTATGAGGTTACGCAACTCCGTGAATTGACCAAGTTAGACCGGCTCAGTGGTCCAGAGGTTTAGCGTTCGCGCACAATACCGAAGGTCCTGGGTTCGAATCCTGCGGGGTGCAGGAGTAGTGGATGCGCACTGCCGATGAGTCCCATACCAGGACGAAACGGCCGTCCAGTGCTTTCAGGTTTCTAATGATGGTCTAGCATTGTTCGATTAGTGGTTTCAAAAATGTGTAACTTAACAATCTTCACAACCCCGTAACGCAAAACATTAGGTATAAAAAATGTGAACATGAATATCCGAAGTTCAACGATTACAAAAGTCAAGTTAATTTGATATACTCCACAGTAATACATTATGATATAGAGAGAGTACAACAAATGAGGCAGACAGTGGAGTTATAGGATGTTTATATCGTCATAACAATCATGTAGAACAGGTGGAAAGATGATTCAGCCACTCAACATTTCAACAAGTGAGTTCCAAGTTCCAATACACTTCATCAGTTTATGCATCCAACTAATACTACTAGCCTTCAGACAAACATTAGTCTTAATGCTGTAATTAGTTAGTAAGTCATCACGACTGTAATGAAGTTTAGTTACAAATCTACCAGTGTTCGGTTTCTAGTAAAACCTTAGAAAAGAATGATAGTATTCTTTTTGAAAAGTCATCAAGCGATGATAACATTTTAAATGAAAGCAGTGATTAAAGGGAATGTCTACACAAGAATCTCTACAAATATTTTTAAATAAATTGAAAAGTCGTCATTACAGGGTTGTGAAGATCGTTGAGTTTCGATCAAATCATGAATTGACCAATTTTAGACCCACGACACGACATGCAAGAATCGAACCCTAGACTTTCGGCTTCAGTGGCAAACTTTTAACCTCTTGACCACTGAGTTCGCATTCAACAGCGTCTATTTTAAAGCAATCCATGAGATTGCGCGACCTCATTCACCATCTTTGGTAGGTAAAACTGCTTTACACCCAACACGGCTAAACCCCATTGGTCACGGCCTCTGACCAAGACTCCGTGAATTCCTTCACGCAGCTAGTCACTAGTGAACACATGATAACTGTCGTTATAGCGCTGTGGAGATAATGAAATTTCAAATCTTTCTCTAACTTTGATTGATTCATAATTTTAATGAAAATATATTAAAAATCTATCATTTCTTCTACTCATTATTTACGTAATTTGAACCAACCTGTTGATTAGAAATTAAAACAATTCAATCAATATTATTTATAATCAACTTACGATTTATCTTCAATGTTCACATTAACATTATCATCACTATTAAATGGATTCTTTAATTGATATTCAAAAAACTCTGTACAACCAAAACTTGTATGTAGTTCATGTTCAATAGTTGTAGCATTATTAATTAATCGTTCAAATAATTCATGTTTCTTTTTATCTCTATATTGACTAATTGTATCTAATTGTGGTTTCTTTTCTAATGATAAAGCCTATAATACAAGGGAAAAATGATTGTCATGAACTTAGCTTAGACAAAATTCCATAAACATCCTATGTTTTCTTTAAAGGAAAAAATATGAAAATTCATTCTCAGTACTAGGATACAAATGTTTTTAATATATTACAACTGACTAAAGCCAATTGTACATGATCATTGTTGATAATAATTATTGAGGTATGATGATGACTTAAGTTTTTTTTTGTAAAATTCTTATTTGTTGTTAAATATCTTAATTATTTAATTTACATTTGGTTAATTTTACACTATTGTCAGCTGCTTAGCCTTTAATCACTTTAATTAAGTCATTTATGTTTAATTCAATCAATTTCTTTTCTAGTTTATATTGGAAAGAAGTATTATTACTTGTTAAGGGATTTAAAATTTAAACTAGATATATATATATGTGGGCATTGGACAATTAATGAAGGCTTCAACCTTGACTACTCTATCTGATTTAATTGTTGAGATCATCTAAAGTACTGCTGTCCTTAAAATCTTCTAGATCGTAACAAGGTGAATTACATATGGATAATGATAGGATTCGCTCACTGAACAATCATAATTATTGTTCAAATATTCATATTAACATCTAGTCAGTCAATCACTCAGTACAAATGTAGAACTTCTTACGTAAGTACATCAGTCCAAATCCCATAGTGGTAGAGATAGTACAAGTATTAGCAGTAATGAAGAAGATTAGGATTTGAAGATATTATTCAAGAAGTATAATTCAGTGAGATAAGTTTAGAAGGAGAAACACGGAGGGGATGACGAATTCAGAAGATTAGAATTTCACAGAAAACAAAGAGTAGATGCACCTGTGCCATTGCAAACGATTTTGAACCATGTGACTTAAGGTCTGTAACCATCGGTTTCTATCGTCTGGCGGACCCCAACCAGGTAGTCTGTATCTACCAACATGACTCAGTCCACTTGTCAGTGACTTCATGGATCGTTTTGGTTTCATCACCAGTAGCTTTCTTCCAACCTACTCCTACATCACAAAACATTGCTCGTCAAGGCAGTCGGTAGTTAGGTATGCGCAACACCCAGTTAGTTATTTTACATTATTTACATATATTCATAAATATTCATTCCAATAAAACTGAATTGAAATTCGAGAATTATGTCGAAACCATGAAAGCAAAATGTTAGGAAATTAGAAGATCCGAAAGGCAAAGACCAAGGCGTTAAACATCGAATATTTTCTACAAGTGATAGCATGATAATGTTAACAAGGATTTCGATATAATTTTGATCACTTGATAAATAGTTCTACGTAAGACGCAAAAACTATGTTCAGATTATGTAAATTAGTCACTAAACTGCCATTAGATTCAGTTCAATCGACAATCAAGCGTTAATGTTGTTAACTTACCTTGATTTTGGAATTTTCGGACAATTTTGTATTATTCCATATATTTTTTAAACCTTCAATAGGTTTTAATGAACTATGTAAACGTTCAAGTTTCTCCATTCTTGTTACATCTTTCATTCTACTCCGATCGTTTGTCAATTTATTAGCTTTTATTGTTGTCATAGGTAATTCTAGTTTCGATGCACTAACCACTTTCATCATTTCTTGTAGTGCAATATTAGTTGGTTTAATTTTATGCGCGCGTACCACAATCCCTGTTGTGCAACCACTGATATCATTTGAATTTAAACAATTCAAGTTTGACAAATCATCACCTGTAAATCTAAAAGCAATAAGATAGTACCGTAAAATTAATCAAGTTTTCTTCATTTTCTTACTGCTTATTTTAACTAATTACTTTAAGTAGTGAGTTTTTAATGTGACTATAATTTTGTACTGCTTGAGATTTATTAGGTTTCTGTATTGTAATGAATCTTGTACTCAATAAAACTTATTAACCTTTGTTCTGCATTCATGTTAGTCACTTCTTACTATAGATATATTAAACGAAATTTTATGAAACTACTTACTTTCTAAAACAAGTAGCATCCATTTGACTTATTAAATATTTTTTCCTGGTCTTATTTCTGATTGTAATTTCTTTGGATATTAATTGTCTACGATGTCCAATATTCGCAAGTCGCAAGAGCAAACAACCTTGAATATCTGGAGGGCTTGTTGAATATGATTCATCATCAAATACATTGTCGTTTGAATGCAAAATATCCATGGAGTACGTGATTTGAACAGCTTCACGACCTTGACGACATAGATGCTTTGTAAGAAACAACAGCAATCAGTGAAAATGAAATCAAGAATCTACACATTCTAGGATATTAGAATACTATATATAATGACATAAGGTGATTTATACTCACTATTATGAATTTATCATAGATTGAATTGTCAACTGGTAAAACATTAACTCAATCAGCTCAAGATCTGAAGGTCCTGCATTTGATTCATTCTAATGTTATTATTGGTTTTCGCTCCTGAAGAGTTTCATATTAAAGAAGAGGAAAAAGTCCTCCAGTGCTCCCTTGTTACAAATAAAAACTCAAATCAAATCGTCTTACATCATTTCTGAGGAATACACAACCTGAGTGAGTCACTTAAGAATAAAAAAAAATCATTTATGAATATTTATGAACATCTACAGAATATTGATTACCTAAGCAATTTATCAATGTTTATTTAGTTTGTTTTTTTTTTGGTCAAATATCATTCACTTTAACTAACGAAAAAGACATTAATTAGTCCAATGTTTTTAGCCCACATCTTTCTACAGTGTTGAGTCTTCTTTTTAAACAAATATACTCTTTAAAACTTTAATCACAGTTTTCATTTTGAGGAATATCAACTTGTTTGGTTATAATTTTGTCAAGGTTCCATACAAATTACTTTTCTTTCTTCATCATTTATATTTTCCACATTTATCTTTGAATGCCACATATTTGAAAGATAACTGTACAATATCATTTTTGTTTTAAACTAGTTCATGTTTACTTACAATTTATATTTTAGTTAAATTGTAACTTTGAAATCAATCTTAACAGTTTTATTGATTCTTTGACTGTACACATCGATGATTAACTTTTAATGAAATAAGCATTGTAAAACAATACTATAACTTACTCTTAATTCAACCATACACGTTCCTATTAGAATATGAGATTTTGCATTCCAAACATCAATTTGCATAGTTGTTCGAAGTAGATAGTTGAAGAATATTTCCATTTCACCCGGTTTAAAATAATTAGGATCAATACGAAAAACTACCTGCGAATTAACAAAGTCAATGAAAATAACCGCTTCGACCTTGGAACAGTGTAATTAGTGTGAAGTTGTAAATTTTATTTTTTAACATCTCTTTAATATTATTTAAAATTTGCGCACCCCGAATCCTGTTAACAGTCTAGGTTATAAAACAATAACATCAAAGTTCATTCTTATTTGGTATTTTCACCTTTTCTTTGGTGTCAAGAATTGCAACTGATCAATCTCTCCGGCATACATGCATCGTGTATGGATCACCTTAATATTACTTTTAGGTTACAAGCAATCGTGAAATCTAAGACAAGCGTTTCATCCTAGGCAGGACTCATCAGCTAGATGTACCTGCATCCCACAATTGATACACAATTCGGAACTCGAATCGAAGCTGTACACAGGCCAGGGTGTTGGGAAAAACCAACAGGTGTCAGTCCTACAAAGCTTTGTTTCAAACCACAACACGATGTCGTTTGAATAAATTAACTGAAAAATAGAATGTAATTAGCTTTTTTTGGGACTTTGGTAATTTACACTTTGACTGAGTATTTGTTGATACAATAAAGAAAGTGAAAATGTATTGCCTTTATAGGAAGTTTCTAGCAATTTTAAAGTTCACTTTGAGTGAAGATGTTACTGTAGTCAAATAACCAATGGTAACGTTCATACTTACTAACCTCTACGTTGCAAATGACTGATTGTTTCAGATTTATCATTTAATTAATTACCCGCCTATTACACTGTTTCTGTAATTTATGCTCTCATTTACTTAACTACTAACGCCTGTTACCTCCAGTGGAGCATAGTCCATCGACCAGTATTCTTTAACCTACTCTGTCCTAAGCTTACCTTTCCAGTTCTGTCCAATTTTTGTTCATTCTTCCAATGTCTGTCTCTATTTCTCCGCGTTTCTTGGTATTCCTCTTTTCCTTTGACGGCTTGTCTTGTGATGCAGTTGGGTGCTTTCCGCAGTGTGTCCTATCCACTTCCAACGCCTCTTCATGCTCCCCTCCTCGGCTGGAATCTGGTTTGTTCTTTCCACAGTAGGTTGTTGATGATGGTATCTCGTCAACGAATCCAAAGAATTTTGCGTAACTTTTAATAAACACTTCTATCTTCTGGATGATGTCTTTCGTTGTTGTCCAAGTTTCCGCTCTGTACAATAGAATTCTCTTGATATTTGCATAGAAAATTCTGATTTCAATGTTGTTTAATAGTAGTTTGGAGTTCCAATGTTATTAAATAGTAGAAATGCTGTCCTTGCTTTGCCGATCCGCGCCATCACATCTGCATGAGATCCACCTTGCTCGTCGATGATGCTGCCCAGATATGTAAAGCTTTTTACGTCCTCCAAGGCATCTCCATCAAGTGTGATTTGGTTGGTGCATGTTGTGTTGCATCATAGAATCTTACTTTTCCCTTTATGCATGTTGAGACCTGCTGCTGCTGAGGCTGCTGCTACACTGGTTGTCTTATCCTGCACTTGTTCTTATGTGTGAGATAGAATAGTCAAATTATCTGCGAAGTCCAGATCGTCCAGCTGCGTCCTAGCTGTCCACTCAATACCGTGCTTCCCTCCAGATGTTGACGTCTTCATAATCTAGTCAATCATCAGGAGAAAGAAAAAGAGTGAGAGTAAGCAACCATGCCTGACAATACTCTTCACATGGAGGGAGACTCTCAGCTGTCCTCCGCGCACGATTTTGCAGTTGAATCCATCATAAGAATTCCGTATGACGTTAACTATTTTCTCAGGCACACCATAGTGTCGAAGAAGCCTCCACAGTGTTTTCCTATCCACACTATCGAGTGCTTTTTCGTAGTCGATGAATTTGATGTAGAGTGGTGAGTTCCATTCAATTGATTGTTCCACAATGATCCGTAATGTTGCAGTTTGGTCGGTACGCGATCGATCCTTACTATGAAATCCAGTCTGTTGATCTCAAAGTTGGGCGTCTACGAAGTCCTTCATTCTGTTTAACAATACCCTGTTGAAGACTTTGCCTGGTATTGAGAGAAGAGTGATACCTCTGTAGTTCTCACACTTGCTGAGATCTCCTTTCTTTGGTATCTTTCTTTCCAGTTTAATGGTACTTGTTCTTCATCCCAAATCTTCTTGAAGAGAGTGTGGTATATTTTCGCATTTGCTGTTACGTTTGCTTTCATTACCTCTGCTGGAATGTTGCCTGGTCGTGCTGTTTGCCGCCCTTGCTTTTTCTGATGGTCACGATAACCTCTTCGATTGTTGATGGGCCAACATCTATTGGAAGGGCCGTGGATGCCGCTTCGATATTAGGTGAGTTCAATGTAGCTGGTCGATTCAAGAGTTCTTCGAAGTGCTCTACTCACCTGTTTCACTGTTCTTCAATGTCGACCACTGGTTTGCTCTTCTAGTTTTTCACTGGTGCTTCTGGTTTACGATATTTCCCAGTGAGCTTCTTCTTTGTATCATATAGTTGTTTCAAGTTTCCTTTTCTTGCAGCTATTCTAGCTATCATTGCTAGTTCTTCCACATATTTGCGTTTGTCGCCTCTGATGCTCCTCTTCACTTGCTTGTTTGCTTCGGTGTATTCAGTTTGTGTCTTGGCTTTCTCTGCTCTTGTTTGACTGGCGTTAATTGCTGCCTTCTTGTTCCTCCTTTGTTTAATTTTTTCAAAATTATCAGCAGAGATCCATTCCTTATGGTGGTACTTCATATAGCCCAGAACCTCATGACATGTTGAAGTGATTGCCTCTTTGATCCCTTTCCAATTGTTCTCTATGGTTGTTTCCGCTCCATTGAACAGACTGTGCGAGGCCTGAAGCCGATTGTTGAGTGTTATCTTGAACTCGTTGATTTTGCCAACATCCTGAAGAAAGGCCGTAATAAACTTCTGTGATGTTGTCCGTCCAGTTGTCTAGTGTTTATTGAGTTTCAGTTTCATTTTGGCAACCAACAAGTTGTGATCTGAGGCTACATAAGCTCCTCTCTTGGTTCTCACATCCTCCATGGTCCTTCTGAACCTTTTATTGATAGAGATATGAATGATTTGGTCCTGTGTGATGTGATGCGGTGAAATCCATGTAGCTTTGTGTATGTGTTTTGGTGGGAATATTGTGCCGCCACTGACCAGTTTGTTACATGCACATAGGTTTGCAAATCTCTCACCATTTTCGTTCCTTTCTCCCAGTCCATGTTATCCAATGATGTCTTCATATTAAGTGTTGTCCAAGCCAACCTTAGCATCTAGGTCTTCCATCAGAATCCTCAAATGCTTTGATGAGCATTTCTCGATGACTGATTGCAGCCTTTCATAGAATTGATCTTTCACGTCTTCATTGTTATTGTAGGTAGGTACATAGCATTGGATAACGTTCATTGTGACTCCCTCTTTCTTTCTTTTAAAGGATGCTTTGATCATACTGAGTCCATGATATTCCCATCCTATCAGTGCTTTTTGTGCTTGTTTGAACAGTATCAGTGCAACTCCTTGTGTGTGTGTGTGAGGCGTCTACTTCTTCATGGCCGGAGTAAAACAGCAGTTCTCCTGGAGCTAATTTCAATTGCCCAACCTGCGTCCAAAGTGTTTCACTGATCTCCACAATGTTCGAACCCTCCATGTACCTAAAAGAATCAAGTGGTCAGCCCCATGCCCAGCCCTCCTCCTTTACTAGGACTTGGGACCGGAAGTGGCCCCAGAGGGGCTCCATGCGGAGTTTTTAATTTATATACACATTGTAATTTTTTAATTGTAAGATTTCAAGATTAAAATTAAATTAAGTACAACAAAAAACTGATCTGTTTTCATCTCTTCATTTTATCTTCAACTAAAAATATTGATTACTATAACAATACAGTTCCTGAAAATTTTGATAACAATCTCTCGACTATTCAAGCAAAGAAGATTTGGACAATGAACAATACTAGAATATTCATTCTTAATGTTATATCAATATTAATCTGAATGAATACAAAATAATATGATTCTTAGAGAAATTTTGATAAATTATAAAATTACCTTATATCCTGGTAATTTATTTTCATCTTTCTCATTAGTAGAATTTAATGTAATTTCAGATAAAGATTTTTCAGTTTGATTTTTTGATTTCCATAATATTCTTAAAGAACTAATTTTTGAATGAGAACTATTATCAAGAGATTGTCCAATGAATAAGCTATAGGGAAATTCGCAATAAATAATCAAACAGATAATATTCTAGAATTATGAATAACTTGTGTATATTTCATTCAGAATACAGTATATAAGAATCATTAAGGTGGATAATGGCTAATTAGATTAAGATTTCTAAGAGTAAGATTTCTAACTTGATCGGTGATTAAATTATAGAGAAATTTCATTGAAATCATGAATCAATCAATGTTAGACCAGCATTAGAAACCTGCATGCACTGGACGGCTGTTTCGTCCTAGTATGGACTAATCAGCAGTGCTCATCCACGAATCCCGATCGCAGAAATCGAGCCCAGGACCTTTGGTCTCGTGCACGAACGCTTAACGTCTAAGCTAGTGGATTCGGTTTCCGCATGCGGAGGTCGTGGGTGAGCACTGCTGATGAGTTCATACTAGGACGAAACGGCCGTCTAGTGCTTGTGGGTTTCTAATGGTGATCTAACAATGATTGATTCATGATTTAGTGGAAATCAACAATCCCTATAACTCTATAATGAAAATTATGGTGAAGTTATTTTTTCTCAACTGATTGGTTGAAGAAAATAGTGCGTCTATCTGCATTCCATACTGTGGACTAAACAGTTTAATTGTCGAACTTTTAGTGTTATTCTGGACAACAACACTATTGTCCACTTCACATAGAAGTAAGCCTAATCAAACCATTTCATCTGTATAAACTCACTTTGTTCAAATAACCATGCTTTCAATTATACATCATTCAATTCTGATTGATCGTTACTGTCATTAAATACTCAAAACAATCAGCTAGAATGCTAAAATACATTGAGATAACAAAATATGTTAAAGAAACCATTGATAAACAATGTCGTGATAATTAACTAGTTTAATTCATTCAGGTTATATTTTCAGAAAAATGACTTCTATCTGGAATAGGCTGTAGTACGTCTACTAAATATGTCGAGTCCACAAGGCTTGTCACAACCATTGGACAAATGAATTAACTCCTTCTTCTCGAGTTATTCAAACGTCTTTAAACCTCATCAGTCGTTCGCCATCTTGGTTGTTTTTATTCGAGTATTTGTCTGCCGCTTAATTCACTTATTACATATCCAGTTTATTTTAGTGCGACTAAAAATACTTGGTCATGCCTCATCAAATTGAGTTGACAGCCAATAAAAATTCTGAATGATCTCGCAAATCTTCGACATCATGCCCGAAAAAAGGATAGTAGTGACGGATATAAAAATCACCCCGATTATTTTTAGCAGTAAAAATTACATATACTAGGAGAAAGCTGAACTAAGGATTTTTGCAATAACTGAATTCAGAAACTTACGTCGGAGTTTTCACTTGAGGAAAACGATAAAACTGAAACGTAAAATAGATTTGTTCAGGTATGTAAGGACCATCGGTTGCTATAGAGCTGGAAGTAGACCTATGGATGAAACAACGGTAAATTTGATTAATGAATATTGCAGGAAACATTATACTTGTCCAACAAGAGAAAGATGAAAACTGCTCGAGTAATTATTCCATGTCAAATAACCTGAAGTTATCCAAAACACAATAATAAGACATACATCCTTAGTTTTTCAGCTCAGAATATCTTCGGGTATGACACAGACGGTAATATCACGCCGTGAAACCTGGTTGGTAGGATTTGTTAAGGGCAAATAGATTGATTATGAGTATGTTTGCTATCATGTGACCACAGAGACTGTACAAGTAATTAAGTTACATGTCAAATTAACTAGGCTACTGGACCCTTTATTTTGATTTATCAAGTGATCATCAATAACAGGCTGGACGTGTAAGCTCTTCATTATTCGGTCAATCAGTAATACCATTCATCAATAAAAAGATGGCTCTTCGACTTTAAATCCTTCCAAAAGCTTGCCTTTAGTAATTCCATGTTATTTAAAGAAGGAGTTTACTAGCTTCAGGTTGATGAGGTTCAACGGTGTTCGTAGTACCATATCATGAAAGTATTAGATGGTCATTACGCTTAATCGTAAGTCAAACAAATCTGGAAATTGGGAATGCTAATTTCAACTCAGTGACCTAACTATATTGTACACACTGAGAAATTACAGTAATGAAATAGGTCTTGTGTGGAATAGTGGATATAAGTAATTCCAGATAATCGTACACTGATACGAAACATCTGACTATTGATACTTGATTTCTTGTAGTTTCATGTCATATGACTATTATCTTCAAATTGAGTCAAGCTAAATAAGATAAGTCTATAAATATCAAAAGCGAAAAAGGTAAACTCAGCTTTCACGATGAGAAGACCAGTTTGTATAAACTATTACATATGATATTTTTAATCATAGTTGAAGACCTGGAGAATTAATTTTTGAAGTAATTGTTCTACATATATTCATTCATATGTACCCAGTCTTTCGAAACGGAACCTGACACATAAAGCTCTGAACCTGTTCTGACTTAGATGAGGCCATTTTTGACTCTAGGGCTTCTGTCCACAGAATTATGACATTTCTGGAATGAATGATGTATCTAAGAATTGGACAGAATATTAATTTATCATCCATGGCTATTACTAAGCATCTAACTGTTGTATATTCCACTGAGATCATAGTCAAACTTTTCGACAAAGATAAACATGATTGGAAACTGATAGCTCTTGTATGTTCTAACTAGCATAGGCTGAACGACCACATATGCATTATACCCATTTTTTTTTTTTTTTACAGGTAGGCGATCTTGGTCAGATTACAGACGGTACGCGACAGCGAACTCCGTTGATGCTTTTTATATCCATGCTGAGATTCCATTAGTCGCCAACTGATCAAAGCTTATGGTATTTCTTGCTAACTGTGATACAAGCACAACAATCCTCAGCCGTTTCGAGAACTAATTTGACTCAGTACCCATATTAGCCAGGATAAGGCAACTGTTTTTTCGACTTCACTTCATGTTTTGTACAGGATGACAATAATTCTAAATTATTATTGAAAAACAAATAGCCGTCACATAATTCTCGGAAGTGCGGTGATCGAAATGAAAGGAAACAGAAGTTCCTATTCTTAAATAAATATATTCCCGACCGAAGCTGCTACCTTGATGTGGTGGTCGGGCTTGCCTATCGTGATGACCCAACCGAGCTATACTGGCTGGAACATATGTTCCTAAAGGTTCTACCATGCCAGGCAGGTCGATTGGAGAACGATGAGACTAAAAGCAGCTACCCAAGGTCTGAGGGCGAAGTCGTACTGCTGACTGCAGAGGGGTGTGACAGCAGTAAGGTGTTTCCCTCGGACAACCAGCATCTGCAGCGATGCTGCCTTCTCACAAGGAAGGAAGGGTTAGAAAAGGTCGGCCCTAAAAATGTCACACCTCCCCTAACTCACGGATTTCCGTCTCCTTGGGTAAGGGTGCCCACTAAGGGCCTTTAAGAACGGAGCTAATCCTCAAAAGACATTTCATAAAAAGGCCGTGAGTGACCGGCCTCAAGCAGTTGTCCCTTGGACTCTGCGGTCACGCACCAACACTAATCTATCTTCCTTTTCAGGTTCCTCAAGAAACAACCTTCCACGGTGTGGGCAGCCGGGAAGTGACAACCGCCCTCATACCCATAATAGCACGCGAGACCAAATTGGTCAAAATCAAATCCTTCCTACACCCCCTAGTACCTCTCTTACCTCCACGACTAACTCTTCTCACATTCATTTATCACAGTGCACAGCTAATGCAGACGATACGAGTTCGCGAAACGTCGTTCCTGGTCTCCTTAAACCCCGTTCCAAACTACATGTTGGAGCATTTAATGTACGGACATTGTGTCAAATAGGGCAACAGGCTTCCTTAGCTAGGACTTTAGAATCTCGTGCCATCGATGTATGCTGCGTCTCGGAAACGCGCATACAGGATCCGAGTCACGTCATACACTTGACCACACCATGTCAAGATAAAGAAGCAGCTCGATTTACTCTTCGTGTATCCGGTAGCCCTGATGCTGCTTCTAGGGGCCTCGCCGGTGTAGGTATAGCATTGAGTCGTAGGGCAGAACAATCTCTCCTTGACTGGATCCCAATAGATAGTCGATTGTGCGCTGTCCGACTAAACGGGACAGTAAGGACTCGGAAAGATAGGGACAATCGCCGTTGCCTCTTCGTCGTATCTGCCTATGCCCCCACTGAATGCAGTTCAGACGAGGTGAAAGATGAGTTTTACAGAAAGCTTTCGGACCTCCTCCAAAAAGCTAGGCGCTCTGATATAGTAATAATGGCTGGTGACTTTAATGCTCAAGTAGGTAGACTAAGTGAGCAGGAGAGACACCTAGGTGGATGTTATGGTGTCCCGGCTCAGAGAACAGACAATGGTGACCGTCTGTTGCAAGCATGCTCAGACAACCGCCTATTCTTAGCAAACACTAACTTTAGGCATAAGGAAAAGCATCTGTTGACCTGGCGACCTCCAAAGTCGTCTCAACGTTGGACTCAACTAGATCACATTGCCATCAGCCACCGATGGAGGGGTTCGATAGAGGACTGTCGCTCGTTCTGGGGCACATGTCTAGATTCAGATCATGCCCTAGTGCGAGCGCGTATTTGTTTGAAGCTTACTGGGCGTAGGAAAGACACCGTAAGAAAGCTTCTTAGGGTTTTACTTAATGATAATAAGGCGAAAAATATATTTCAGGAACAACTAGAAAGACAGTTAGGCGACCATTTAAGCGATTCCCATCCTGAAGCAGGATGGAATGATATCAAAAAGGCTGTGGAAACAGCAGTGATATCTGCTAGTAAGGTTGACCATAAGGCTAGAATGAAACCGTGGATCTCAGTAGCATCCACCGATCTGATGGATGCCCGAAAACTCATCCCACCTGGCTCTGAACATGATGAAGAACGAAGTCAACTTAGGCGCAGACTTATGAAAAGCCTACGTAACGACCGTGAACAGTGGTGGGTGGCGAAAGCAAAAGCGATGGAAAAGGCAGCGGCGATCGGCAACACTAGACAACTTTTCCGACCTATCAAGGAAACTGGTATTAGGAATCCTAGTGTAAGTGAGACTATCACAGAAAATGACGGGACTATTATTCATTCTCAATCCAGGAGACTGGATCGATGGGCAGAACACTTTAGGGATCAGTTCAACTGGCCTCGAGCCACTCTTCGGTTACCCACGATCTCCAGTCATCCTGAATGGCAAATCGACGTAAGTCCCCCTAGTCTTAATGAAGTCGAAAAAGCGTTAGGAAATCTGAAGCGAGGACGAGCTGCAGGTCCTGATAGACTGACCCCTGAGATATTTAAGGATGGTGGTCCAGTTTTAGCAACTAGGTTGACTGAGATCTTAGGTAGAATCTGGGAACTGGACGTAATCCCATCCGACTGGTCTCAATCACTGATTGTCCCAATCTATAAGAAAGGACAGAAGTCTTCTTGTGACAATCACAGGGGAATAAGTCTAACTAATATAGTTTCTAAAATATTGGCCTCAATAATACTTCGACGCTTAACGAAAGCTCGTGAAGAGCGAACTCGAGAAAACCAATCTGGTTTTCGACCTGGACGTGGTTGTATAGACCACATCTTCACACTCAGACAGGTCCTGGAACACAGACACACATTTAGGCGTCCTACAATAGTTGTTTTCCTAAACCTTAAGGCGGCATTTGACTCTGTTGATCGTGAGGTTCTGTGGCAGTGTCTGTCATTGAAAGGTGTACCAAAGAAGTACATTAACCTCATACAAGCTCTCTACTCAAACACCACTGGTCGAGTGAGAGCTTATGGCGAACTGTCAACGGAATTCTCTACATCAAGTGGTGTCCGTCAGGGATGTCCACTTTCTCCATTCTTGTTTAATTTTATCATAGACATGCTCCTAGAAATAACCCTATCGTCGTCTGAATTTTCGGGAGTAGACCTTCTACCAGGTGGCTCGCTTATTGACTTAGAATATGCCGATGACACGGTCCTACTTGGTGAAGACGCTGACAAAATGCAGAGTCTTCTGACTACCCTAAGCAACAATGCAAGCATGTTCGGGATGCGGTTTTCCCCCTCGAAATGCAAAATGTTGCTTCAAGATTGGGTTTCATCGGCACCTGAACTAGTGATAGGGAGTGAAGTAGTCGAACGTGTAGACCGCTTCACTTATCTTGGGAGTCTCATCAGTGCCGATGGCCTGGTGACTGACGAAATCTCGGCACGGATACAGAAGGCTCGATTGGCTTTTGCCAAGCTGCGTCACTTATGGCGTAGGCGAGATATCCGTTTGCTGACTAAAGGACGAGTGTACTGCGCAGTGGTTCGCTCCGTCTTACTTTATGGCTGTGAAACATGGCCAATGAGAGTAGAAGATACTCGTCGGTTATTGGTGTTCGATCATAGATGTCTTCGAAGCATTGCTCGTACATCGTGGGACACTCGAGTGAGCAACGCTGTTATTAGGAAACGGGTACTAGGTACGAATGGCAGATCAATGGATGAAGTGGTGAAACTTCATCAGTTGAGGTGGTTGGGACACGTGTTGCGTATGCCTAACCACCGACTGCCTCGTCGAGCTTTGTTTTGTGGTGTAGGAATAGGTTGGAAGAAAGTTAGTGGCGGCCAGACCAAAACATGGCAGAAATCCATGAAGTCATTGACGAGTGGACTTAGCCATGTCGGTAATTGTCGACTACCTGGTTGGGGTCCGCGAGATGATAATAATCGATGGCTAGAGACCTTGAATGACATGGCTCAAAATCGTTCGCAATGGCGCCGGTGCATTTATTCTTTGTGTTCTCTCAAATCCTAATCTTCTGGGTTCTTCAACACCTCTAGTTTTTACTTTCTAAACTTATCTCATTGAATCATACTTCTTGAATAATATCCTCTAATCCTAACCTCTTCGATTACTTCTAATACCTTTACTACCTCTTCTACTATTGGATTTGAATTGACAATTATATCTCTGTGCTGATGTGGTATGGCGACATGAACTGATGTACTTACGTACGAAGTTCCACGTTGCAACTGACTGACTGACTGACTGAAATAAATATATTATCTAAGAATAATGTCGACTATAGTCTGAACAGCTTTATGCTTGTTTCAGAATTCATTAGTCACAGACTTTGAAACAACATTTTTTCAAGGAACTGATTGAATAAGAATAACGTATTTGATTGAACACAATTTACTACTCTGCTCAAACTAATCATACACGCAAAATATAATATGTTTGCTCAAATGAATATAATTCATATTGAAATTACCCAGAATAAGCTAAAAATTGAAAAATAATTTCATTCTGATCCAATTTGTCAATTTCTTCTTTTACAAACTTAAAATCATCGATTATATCAGTTTGTGGATCAATTGTAAACGGTGGTTCGCCAGTTTCTGTTTGAATTGGTTCGAAACCTTTTTTTTTCAAGAAAAATAAAAGAATTTATAAACATGTATGGTTTGTCGACAGAGAAATCAATTTGAATTTTGATTGAATAAGTGACAAATCAACGACTCAATATTAACACTATATAACGGACACATGTATCTGAACATGAAACAAAAAAATATCGATGCGGAAAGGTTTCTTGTCACTAGAGCTCATTGCATAACAATGCTTCGTAGTTTTAAGTATCACTGATGCACTGTGCAATAGTCAGAAGGTTAAGGAGAAATGGTGAGATTTAAATAGTCCATGGATAGAAAGTTTCAGGGACACCTGTTCGCCTAACGAAATGAGTAACCGAGGATGTGATATTATCAATTGGTCGTATGAAAAAATAGATACGGTTGTAGAACCAGTCTGGAATGAAATACCGTACATCTTCCCATATGTTTAAAGTGTACAAGTCAAGCTATACTCATTTGTCAATGATCATATATTAGAAAATGATCAATTGTTCAGAACCATTTAGTCATACAGAAAACTAAACTTTAGTTTTATCAATTGACTAAAACAAAAGTTTTGTATTACGTTCTCTCTGTAACCATTTATCACTAATTCACAAAATCCATTTTAACATTGAAAAAAATATTTACAAGCTACTGAATTGAACTCGTGGTTGATGAGGTTCAACGATGTTCGAAGTATTAGAAATATCAAGGAAAGTATTTAATGATCGTTACGCTTAATCGTAGGTCACCTAAAGCCGAACATAAGGAACATTAATTAAATGTTAATCTTAATTGAATCCAAAATAAGCGTTTCAGTCTTACAAGAATCAGAAAAGTGACTGAACATAAATTCAACTAAGTTATTCAAATAAATTGTAAATTTTATGGTTTACCTAAACACATTATTATTTTCATGTAGAGTTTAGTTTTAAAAATGTAAACTTGAACAGCTTACAATGAATGATCTGGTTAAATTATTTGTTTCAATGATTATTTAAATCGACTCTTACTGAAAAAAGGTACCACAATCAATTGACCAAATCATGGTGATACTAATTTTAACAAAACAAAAATAAAATCTTTTTAATCTAACCTGCTGAATAAATTTTAGCATAAGCTGCTCTACTTAATCCTACACCATGATGAATGTTATCTAAAAGTATGAAAGAATTATTAACATTTCGATTTAGAAATGGTCCAATCATAGATGAAGAGATTGGTTCCATTGGTTGATACATTGTTGGTCCAATTCCACCTAAATAAGGACCAACTAACATGCCATAATTTAAAAATCCACTATATGGATTAAAAAGTCCCATTTGATGTTGCTGTTGTTGTTGTTGTAACAATTGAGCCTGTAAATTGAATTGAGCTCGAATCGGAACTGGTAATGAATTTAAATTCAGTTCTTGTAAATTCTCGAACTGTTTAAAATCATCAACTAAATCATTTTTTTTCAATAAATTGGTTGAAGATTTTCTTTTTACCGTTCGCATTTTTTTCTTTCTGGGAACAACAGGAAATGATGGCGATTCCGGAGGGAGTGATTCTCTACAGGAAGAAAATTAAAAATTAAACATACAGAATAAAAATTGTCCGTTTGGCTAAAATCATATAAACCTGTAGGCAATAAACGTGAATAAGAAAATGTATTTAGTTATAAAACAGTGAAATTTAAAACAAAATGACCAGGACAATATCAATCACAATAAAAATTTCTGTTAGCTCACATATTACTAAATAAATCTGGAGATTTTGACCTTGTGGTGATCATCTCTCGATAGCTGTTAACAGATCTGTTATCGTTGAAAATTTCCAACTCACCAGTAAAACTCCTTGTATGTGTTAAATGAATGTGACAAGGCAACCGGGAATTATATGTTTAATTCAGTAAATTTGTTTGATTTCTGTGGAATTTATGGAAAACTATACTCAGTGTGTGAATATTTGGAGAACAAAAATGTTTCTGGTACATTCTTGTACTTAGTTGAACAGAAACTTAACCCATACACTTAACACCATACACCTAAGCCTAGCTCAATATATATAAGCTATGTAACAAGGTCTATGTTGAGGATGCTTCTACTATTTAGTAGCATGAACAAAACTTAAATGATTGATATTTTGTTACAGAAATTTACGTAAACTCTAATCAAAACGAATTTACAATACGAAAAATATTTCCGTTATCGTAACTAAAGAGGATAAATCATTAAGATCATGAAGTCTGGTAGCATGCTTCCGAAGACATTTTCGTCTATGATCTCGTATTTAGAGATTTTGGGTCTCCAGAGGTCTAAGGTTGCGATTTTATTGAAGATAGTACTGATGTTGTGATAAAGTATTCCTGTTAGTTCCTCAGTAGTGTTTACAGTAAAGAAGGTAGTACAGTCAATGCTTCTGAGGCAATTTTCGAAATTTGTGCAATCTTACAAAATTCCCTACGAAGTATGGTGCTTTTACGTTTTATATTTGTAGATTTTGTATCACGACTGCATATGACGATATTATGATTGCTATTTGGAAACCGTTTTCCAACATTTACGGTATTGGGGATGCAGTTATTGGTGAAAACTAAATCCAAAATATTGTGATGTCTATTTGAGCCATTAACATATTGAGTTCACTTTCCAAGCTCTAAGCTTCAATGAATGATTCTTCGAAACGAAACCCAATATTCAGATATCATACTGATTAAAACTCATCAAACCATGCACTTGTGATCATCATCAAGCTCAAACACCTTGATCATTTATTCTACAACAGTGAAAATATTGCCATGGATTATTCTCTTCTATTCAGATTGATCAAAGCTAACTAATTTATCAAATAAAAATATTCGTTTGGCCAAATACTACGTCATAAAATTATACGTGATTGTCTGAATGCGTAGTATGGTACATAAAAAGTCAGCTTGAAATGTAATCATTGTCTTTTGAATACCATAAGTGAAAACAATTTAATGATGTATTTAAATTCAAAATACCGATGTAAGCTATGATTGTTGAAAGAAGTTTTAATCAGAAGTATTTTAACTACGAGAAATTTTTAGTGTAGATATGAAAAAACATTGTAATGTGCTCTTCAAGTCCCATTTCTGCTGACGGCACAAAATCAGCTAATTATTTCTTAATTCATATAAAGTTTGTGACTGTTGAATCCCATTCGACTGACACCATCACTAATTACTAGGAGAAAATGGGGTTTTAATATTATCAATAAACATGTATTCTATCCAATCAAACTCACATAGGTTCTTTTTAACGGTGGAGCCTGGCGCAAAAGTTTGTCGGCTCAAGTTGTCAAACTACATCATCGTGATGAAATCAAATCAACAATTTAGTTGCAATCGTAGTTGGAACTGAACATTCAGAACAGGGTTCGACAATAGAAAGTTAAAATATGTGAATGAGGGTATACTGGAACTCGAAATTTCCGAAAGTTTAGGAGTGCTTGCATCTGTACCATAATTACCGGCTTTAAGCCATATTACGCAACTTCTTCAACCAGTGATTAGGGTTATTGAGTAAACCACAACAAAGTTTACTGCACTTTCTAATACACGTTATCGATTAATAGTCAATGACTTCATAAACTAATGACATGATGTGGTACACATTAGCTTTTTTCCGACATAATTCTCCACCAACAAATATCATCCGTCAAGGAAGGTCTTTTGATTAAAATGTTCCTACTGAAACCAATTTCCACTGTTCATGATGAACATCATTAAATCAAGTGAGAAATTTTCAACTATTGTTAAATTTTAAATGTTTTACTTTTAAAATTCAAGTTAAGAAATATCAGTAATCAGACAACGTAAAGATTTGTCAAATATTTCCTCTTTCTAAATTTTTCTTATCAATCAACTGAGACAATTTAATCACTCAATTATATTGAAATTTTTATTGTGATGTTTAACAGTAAGAATCAACCAGACTGAAAGCAATAAATTCAAGACATCATGATACATAGTATTCATCACAAACTTTGAGATTTGAAACTGCGTTACTTACGGTTATATTCAGGGTAATTCTTATTCATTTATTTAGGCTATAACTGGTATCTATCAATATCCAACGTTTTAAATATATTATTATGAAGAAAAATATGTGTGGTGTGTGCTATTTATACGGACAAATATAAGTACTATATAGCAGGAATCAAAAGTAGAATTTTAATTAGCAGAAGAGAAATAAAAACAGAACAATCTCAATAACAACAAAAATGGCAGCACGGTGGAGTTTGTACAGGACAACTCAAGGAACATGGGCAAATAATGTATTTTATGTATTGCGCTTTTATATGTTTAAAAAATGCAGTGCGTAATTCTGCCTAAAACAGGTTTTTCGCCAACCCACATACAATTCATATATGTGTTTTACTTATAAAAACGATAGCGTGAAGGCAAAAATAGCTGATGGTGCTTAGCAGTATTTTGAAGTCAAAAAAACACAATCCAACTCACTTGAATGTGATTTTTCTGCCAAAGAAATATTTACAGTAGTTTTATTCAAATATTTAAGATTGAAAAAATAACACTGTATTCAGATCACAAGAAAATCGCGTAGTGAGAGATTATGCTATCTCACTATCTCTAAACAAACACAAATTGTCATGAAACAAAGCCAGATTTTCTATAATCAACCCGAACTTCATATCATCATAAAAATACTTTTAAATGGTTGGTGTTCTTAACGTACCACAATCAACTGTTAAATCGCGAAGAACAAAATAAACTCAGACAGCTAGCTCACTTTACTCTGAAACTGCTCAAGTGTGAGCAACAACGACTCTGATAAAATGAAATATAGAATCTCCTAATTGGGAAATGATTAAACCAGAATTTCACCACCACTCAATTCAAAATACTAATCATCAATTTTCCTATCTTAACGATAATACTTTTTCTCACTGGTGACAACATAAGTAAACTGACTGACTGACTGACTGAAACTTCATCAGTCGTAAATGGTCACTTGATCTATAAGAGAATCTAACTCGAAAATAATCATAAATGAGAACATTATTATTATTATTATTATTATTATCGGAATAACATTTTTTCAATCACTGCTCAATTTGATTTCAAGTAGTCGTTATCACGAGAATGATATCAAATGGAGCATCATTATAAACTAAAGATAATCAGACGGTTGTTTCATTTTTACAAAACTGCATATCCACAAAACTCAGGAGTCATAAAGTAGATTTTATCAGCATTATCGCCACATTCACCATTCATTTGTAAAAGCTGTAAATGTATGTTGAATTTTTGTGTTCTTGATTTCGAATTTTCCAGTCAACATCGAGAGAGTTGTATACAATGAAATACTTGTGTATCAACACGTTATACCATTGTTGAGTTATTAGAGTCCTGATATAATTTCATTTATTTCAAAATAATAAATAAAGCCAGCTACCTATGGAAAGGACCAATTTTCTCCGTACAATAACTTAAATAACATATCATAAAAAGGATAAAAAGCAATAAACTAAAATGAACAGTAATCTCCTCATCATATGCAATCGACAATGCTAAAATCATAAGATTTAGATGGTTAAGAACTTAAATTTATTTCCACACCGTTTAAACTGATCTCGTAATTTCTTCAATGCCAAATAAAACGCAAATTCGTGGTTGAATTTAGTTATTGATAATTTTACTACCATAAAGTAAAGCAATCAAAATTTTGTGATGTAAACTATACTTTTGAAATATTTAAGCATTTATAAACAACCCAACATTTATTTATTTGATTTGTTCAAGTCAAATTGATCTTACCTTCCTGAAAATTGATGTTCTACTTCTGGAACTCCATAAGCTGGTTTAGATTGCTTGGTTACAAGGGCAGATTCTTCAACAACAGCATTTTCACTCTTAAAGCATCCAACAGACAAAAAGTTATGCATATCGTTATTGGTTCCAATAAATAACATTTAATAAAATAAAATAAGGCATACCATAATACACATTGAACTAGTGATACACAGTTTCTTCCTGATACATATTAAATAGAATTTTATGCATTGAATGCTAAGTAATTTTATTCCTTCTTGAAGCTAAAAAAACAGATCATCGAACTTTGCGACAGAGAATCAGCAATGTAAGCTAAAAATACGGAGTATTTGATTTTATTTACCTTCGCAATATACATTATATTTTACTCTTTAGACACTTTCTAAATATTTCTATTCACTAACGAAGTTCTTACACACAAATACTGTTGATACTTGTGATAGCTGAATACTATACTTATTTTTAAAACTTGAGATTCATATGAGAGTAGAGTTATTTGATGAAGGACGGGACTGAGACGTTTTTCAGTTTTCACAGTGTTCATTTACATATAGTTCAAAAAAATACTTATGACATACAAATTGGTTTAGATCTTCAGTTTTAGAAAAAGGTCGTCGATAATCTAATTAGCTCAAATTAACTGATGTTCTGGTACCAACTTCAAAATAACTCGCAAATACAGTCATAACTGAAGCTATTGTGTTAAAAGCATAGATTTATGTTAAACCAAATAGGTTTTGAATAAGTAGATCTTTAACACTAGCTGCCCTTCATACAGAACAATAATTTCATGAGATAATTTAACTTGAAAATAAATATCTCTATAGAAATTTACTAAAAATTTGCAGTGTTCCAACTTAAAACTGATTAATTTGATTGATTGCTTTTAAACAGTTTTACTTTATTACTTCATTAAAACCTCTCAGTAAGTATTACTTTTCATTACTTCATCAGAAATATCTTCAGAAAGCTGAAACAATGCAGACTAGGTTAAAGTAAATCAATGTTAAACTAAACAATCTTCAGATTTATCATAAAATTTCCATAATAGAATAGACGCCTCATCTCCTCTACCTAAAACGCATAATTAAAAGCCATACAATAAAATATTTAAATAAACAAAGATACTTTTTATACGGTGATTTTACCATCTCTTTTCGTATTCCAACCGATATTGTACAATTTAATGTTAATTCCATTGTTGAACGAACATTATCTGTGAAACAAAAACTTCCATCTGGACATACTGTTCTCAATAAGCATTTCTCGTAATCGTCACTATCTGAAATCTGTATCTTATTACCATTGATAGATGATGATGATGAGAGGTCAATATTTGAATCAGTTACTGTACTTGGTTTCACACTTCCTTGGAGTAATAAATTTAAATTTACTGAATTATATCCAATATTATTTGCCATTCCCATGTTATCTTCAAGTGGATATGCTGCCCATCTTACTGTACAATGAAATTTCTTTGGTGTCGATGAATTTATCTAATTGAAATGCAAAAAAGGTGAAATTATCTTTTAACTTATATTCATACTACTAATGAGTAATTTGAAACTTTGCCACGCATTTTCAGACATTGTATTCCAACATACATCACTTTCTAAAAGGTTGTTACTTCGATCATTCTTGGTGCTAATTATAAAAAACTATAACTTCAGAAGAATAAATATACCAGTAGATAATCATATCAACTGCTGAAACGTATGGACTTCAAATATGATATAGAATACTGATGCAATTACCTCACTCTCCTTTAAAATGAATATTCGTTTCCTTCTACCATGAAACAAGTTGCTTTACACTAATAGATACATCTAGGATCCTCAGTGCATGAAATCAGTATGTCGTGCTTATGTGTTTTATTTATTAAATTACAATGTCTACTTGCTCCCATTGTAATTAAGTTTTTCTTCGTCAGTATAGTTATATTCTCATAACTGTCTGGTGACGGGTGGATACTCACTGAGATATTTTCTTTCAAATATGATTATTATTTAGCTATGCAAAATTAAGAACACAGAATTGCTGTTCATTTAGAAGACATGTTATTTACAGCAAACGAACAATACTTTTTACTTTTAGTTATCGTTCGAGAGAATTCAGTGTAAAACATATGCTCGAAGAAATTTAACCTCTCAATAAAATCCCTATAGAACCAATTAAAAACACTTGACAAGTATGTCTACTTATGGCAACTACAAAACTAACAGATATTATCAACCATCAGCAGACAAAAATTGACAAACCTAAGGTGTCAACTACTTATCTAATTATTTATTTAACCAGGAGTTTATTTAGGCACAATTTTTGTTTAGAATTAGCAGAGTTCCACTCACAGATGGTTTGCATGGATCAGATCGGATCCTAAAGAATTCTAAAACGGACAGATCATAAGGCTAAATTGTTAGAATGCTTTTGGAAAAATAATATTATTATTCTTAGTTACTTTTAGTACACGGTATAAATGATGACTGAAATTTGTAAAGATCACTCAAGCAAAATTAATTCCACATAAGACATGTTTGAATAACTATTGACTAAACTCTAATATACTTCATTTAAAATGAAGCATTTCCAGGTAACTTTTGTGTTTGAAACATCTTCTCCATTAGAAATTATTTTGTCGTATATTCAAACATAGTATGCCGGTAAAATAAAATATCATTTATTCTGATTTATTTAATTTTTAGATATCAGCAGCAATAGTGTATCTCTATTACATAGAAATCAGCTACTTCTCAACAAAAAGCTACTTTCTTTAAAACAAACAGTCTCCCTGATAATTGGATTTTATATCAGGCAATGACTACTTGGACCTTTTATAAATAAGGAACATATATAAAACTAAACATAAAAATATCCACGGATGATTGACATAAATACTTTCATTTTTCATCTTCCTGTACAGTTACGTTCAGACTTCTAAATCTCGTTAAATAAATTCCATGTTTTACCAAGCAGGTATTAGACAGTATATGTTATGCGTGTGAAATCTTACAAGTACAGTAAACAGAATTTATGTGATGTGCTCGATACAATTACGAAACTCTACCATAGGCATGTATAGGGTTTATTATGTACTAAAAGAATAATCAGAAAAGCTTACATCGGATAAAACATATTCCAGTACAAACACAACTGCACATTTAAGATTCTGTGGTACAGTTAATTCTGCATCATTGCGTGCGACGAGATATGCTTTCGAAGAGGACTCAGAGCTCACAGTTGATGAAATCTCCATTGGTTTGCCTAAAGAAGTTGGTGATATTTTTCTTCCTGAAGACGATCCTCTCTCTGACTCGATAACTGTGTCTAAGTAAATTACCGGGACAGGTTGAAGGATAGTATAACGGTTGTGCAAGAAAGTCTAAAACTTAGAGCAAAAAAGCACATAATAGTGAAAATTCTGATGTCTGTGGATACATGTTAGTGACAAACTACTGCATCGTGATTCCTTGTTGTTATTAAAATGGAAAGTCAGCACTGATACATTTCAGTAGTAAATCTAAACTGCATGAATGAAAAGCGAAACTTAAGAGATCTTATATTTACAGTAGTTTGCTCGAATAATTCCTCGTGTTTAAAAAATATCAGATTTGTATTTATAGCTAGACATATTTAGAGTCGTACGGCAAACTCCATTAATTATTAGCTATTGCAAGATCAACAACTTATCAACTAGAGACTTCATAAGTGTTCATTTAATCCATCCAGGATTTCAGCCTATGTTATTAACGAATTTTGTACAATGAAAATCTAATAAAGAACTGTACAAGTGTACCCGACTCCAAATACAACCAAAGCGAGTCAAGGCAATTTATGTCACAGCAGAACTTCCCAATAAAAGTTTATTTCTTAAGGCAAATCAGTATGATAAAGGAATGAAATAATAATAATGACCTTAAATCTTCTTTCGTAAACCTGTAGTCTGACTGGTGAAGATATCCCATGATGATTATATGTAGCAACCAAGTCGTCTGAAACCGTAGAACACAAATAATTTTCAAAATCTGCTATCTGGGAAGAATAACTTGTAATTGAGATATCTTCGATGAAAATTTTTACAAAACCTCCTGTATCCCATGTATCTTGGATTCGGTCTGTATTTGCCCCAGAAATGCAACTCAGTGAAGAAACGAATTTGTTTTCAGGGATCAAGCACGGATAATTCTCTAGTTCCTTGAATGAATCTATTGAATAATAAATACATTGATTCTCGAACTTTTCTGGGAATGTATTGCAAACTATGAAAAGATTTATTCAATCCGAAAAACTTAAGCTACCTTCAGGAGAAAGGTATAATACACGGCATGATCCTTTTGAGAAAGACGAACTACACGAATATGGCAAAGATGAACTTCGAATAATTTCGTGAATATTTAGGGAACACCAGCCAATTTCTGACACATCAGTTGATATTAAGGAGTCGAACCTGGTTAGCACAATTACGAATAACGTCGACTTGAACAGGTCTGATGAATAGAAATAAAGTGTCTCAAAAGAAAAATCTCATTTACAGTGGTCCTTTTACCTGTCTCAATTGAAGTCTCACACACCCATCTTTTTTCCGTTCCTTTTTGAGCTTTCCGAAGTTAAAAATGTTACTCAACACCATTTTGCTAGCATCATCGAAGGCGAAGACATACAAACTATAGTCTTGATCATAGGTATCCTGAAAATGAATTGTCATAGTTTCGGTTTTTTTAAATGTAACTGACGTTTTCTGTGGGATAGTAATCAAGATGATTGAGTTCCAATCGTAGACTTTCTCCACAATATTGGTCAGACTTACTGACTGAACTTGGTAAAAAGAAGGGGAACCACGATGTTGGCATTCTGTAACTGTGGAAACCAATTATTTGAAACAGCGCAGAACCAATGTCCAATATCTTTATCACGAACTAGTGTAAAGCATTTGATTTCTTCCCTTAGTACTTAATCAGGAGTAATACAGATATTCCCTAACCGTCCGCTGGATTTGAATTTGAGTAGTAATCTGAACATTTGGATGCCTTGTTTAAGTTATCAGTGAGGTTAGTGTTGAAGATCTCAGCCATTATCCAATATCTTTTTCACGAACTAGTATAAACCAATAGATTTCTTTGCGCTCGATTCTTGTTCTTTCAGTATGGTTCCAGGTGTTCGGTAGTGTCCAATGAATAGAGGTCTAGCCTCTCGACTGCCTAATTCTAGTCAGTTGGCAGTCGGTTATGAGTTTGTATGTCTCGTGATTTGAATGAAAACGTTTGTTACCAGCAGCCATCACAAAAACAGAGCGGAGATCAGTTGATTGCAGTCTGGCGAATAATAACGATAAAATTCTAATGCTTATATGAGTAAAATCTCAGAACTGTGTAATATAAAGATGAATTTCGGTTGTTAATTGGAAGTGAAGATTGTGAGAGATGACCGTAGTGTAGGCAAGGGAGAGGAAACAAAGATAATAGGCGAGATAGGTTAAGTAAGTGATTTGAGGAGGCGGAAATGATAACAACTAGCAGGTCTCAAGATATGCATCATGAACAGCTTGTCCAAGAGGGAGATGATAATCCGTATGCGAGTACGTGATTTTCAAGTCTCTTCTTATACCTGTCCACTGAGGGAGCCGTGATCACCTTTGCTGAGAGAGCATTCCGAGTTGTGACGACCCGCAATGAAAAAAGTGTGCCCCAACCTGAGTATTCACTCTTTGATGTGCGATTTTTCGAGGATTGCCTAGAGGGGTGTGGTGGTGATGCATCGGTAAAATGCTCACGTTGGGATGGTTTAGCGTGCTCAATATGTTGTACGCCATAATCAGATCGTCTCTGATCCTTCTGTAACTCAGTGGCAATAATCCCAAGTGCTGCAGTCTACGATCGCGAGATTTATGTTTCAACCCTTTCACTCATTTCGTTACTTGTCTCAACACTCGATCCAAGAGATTTGTCTCTTTTAAGCACGTTGTGACGTTGTGAACCTACAGGTGTGTGAGTGCGTATGTTTTAAATCATGCCAAGAATAAGTCAGGGGTTATATAAACAAGTTTTCTCTGGATAAAATGAGGAAATGCATTTGCCTTGACTGTTTCCTCTTTATAGTTTGGACTCGTGTGGAGGCTTTATGTGGCTAATAAACCGAGTTTGCGCTCTGAGGAGACATTAGGGAGCGGACTTCTGTTGAGGATGTAAATCGTTTGCGTCATGTGAGGCAAAATATACATGACGTGACACATTAGTTAGCTGAGTTTTAAACCGTTTTCCACTTTCCATTTCTCAATAGATGTAATGTCCTTTTGAAGCTCAGCCGTATCCTCTTGGCTTCTAATTGACTTCCAGATCTTCGCATTATCGGCGTAGATCAATGTCACTGAGCTGACTGGGCCTAACAGGTCGTTAATAAATATCAGGAAGAGAAGTTGACCCGAGATGGTCCCCATCTCTAGATTGGTGGTCACCTGCGAAACTCTCGATGTGGATACTCGCCAGCGTGCGTGCACTCTATTTACCTTGGTACGAAACTTTCTATTCTCAAGGTAGTTTCTGAGCCGAGATAGGAGTGGGTCGGTGAAGCCCATTTCCACAACCTTTTCGATTAGACGTGCGTGGGGCACTGTGTCGAAGGCTTTTGCAAAGTCGAGAAATATTACGTGCACCGGTATTTTCCGTTCCACGCATGCTGTCCAACAATCCCATGCTATGAGAATATTAGATGCACACGACCTGCCTTTCCGAAACCGATGTTGAGATACATTGAGTATTTTATCCTTATCCATGTGTTCCCTCATTTGTTTGCTTACAAACGCTTCCATTACCTATGATAGTACTGGTAGTAATGCGACTGGTCTGTAACAGGCTGGGTCCTTTCTATCTCCTACTTTGAAGATTGGAGAGAGAGTAGCTTGTTTCCATTCAGCTGGGAGTTAATGTGACTCCAGTTAATGCCTGAACGGGTGGCATATCGTTGAAATAAAGGCTTCCGCACATTGTTTCAAGATTATTGGGCGAATATTGTCACAACCTTATGACTTTCTTCGGCGTAAGGAATTTAGTTTCCTTAGTACTAAGTCAGGGGTAACACGGATATTCCCTAAGCCGTCAGCTGGCATTGGATTTGCGCAGTATTCTGAAAATGTGGATGCCTGGTTTAACTGTTCGGTAAAGTTTGTGTGCAAGATCCCAGACATCTCTAGGTTGGTGAGATCTTTCACATTTTGTCATTTGAGGGAACACAAACCCTGATTCGTAGGTTTTCTTTTAGTCAAGAACCTAAACAGATGCTTCGGGTTTGCCTCTATTTTGGCAGCAGCTTCATCCGAATACGTCTCCTATCACTACGATCGGAATCCTTCAAGGAGACCTTCCACTTGTACCAGGCTCTCCTCTTCGCCTGTAGTAAGCGTTCAGGGCGGCACCTAACTCATGTTCTTCTGTTTCCGGGTGTGTGGTGTGACTGAGATATATCGTCTGCGACAGCGTTTTGGATGATACCTCTGAATGCTTGCCAGCGATCATCTAATGTCAGCCTCCATCACTTCCGTGACCAATGGCATGTAGGAGGATCTCTTTCTTATGCGTATAATTTGCCCTAGTGTAGCAAAGATAGGGCTCATTTTCGCTCAGTGTGAGTGTTTCTTGCTATTCTAAACCAAGTGATTTCTATGAGCTCCATTCCTACTTTTCTGGTGTATTAGGTAGTGTCAGTAGCATTCAGGTTTCTAAATACCAACAGCTTTCACATCACCAGGCCGGAGATTATTTGGTTAAGATATGGGGTGAGGGGGAAGTTGTAATGCTAAGCAAACGTCAGTTGTCAAGGAAATTAGGATGCGATTAGAAGATAATGGGTTAGTAGTGCAGACAATGTGAAAAGACCAGAGAGTAAAGATGAAAGGGAAAACAAAGATAATCAGCGAGACAGAATGAGTAAGTGATCTGAGTAAAGGACGATAACAGAAGGTAAATTTCAAAATATACATCAGGCACAGGTGGCAGAAGCAGGAGATGATAGTCCGTATAAAAATACTCCTTTAACAGGACTGCTATCGAAGCTATCCGCTCAGAGGATTTTAATCGTGTCCGCCAGGAAAGAATTCTAAGTAGAAACGATTGTTAGCGGGAGTAAGTGGGAGTGTACTTTGGTGTTTGCTCGTTGATGTGTAATGTTTAGAAGAATAACTCGAGTGGCTTGGTGGTGTTCTAATGTCAAGATGCTCGGTTTGGAGTGATTCGGCATACTTTACATGCTGTATGCCACTGTTAGATCACCCTGTCAAATCCATGTCCTAGCCAAGCAAAAGTGTGATTTTGGAGCCTATATTCAGCAGGCACTTCCACCATTCGCTCATCAGTCGGATGAAATTGTACAATATTATGAACTTTACATTTGCGGCTTTGGACAATCGATGCTTATGTTATCTTGCTTATGTTCTCCTTATTTTTACAGTACTCTTGTCGATAAGGATAGTTAAAGGGTATGAGTTGCAGCATTATCAAATACATATCACTGAAAGTAAGAGAGCTTGTAATGGAATACTTTTACAACGATGACGCAATTGACGATATGGAAACATTTAATAGTGATCATTTTATTGTGCTGCTTTTGTTTAGGTGTACTAAAAAGCATTACTTGTGCGCTTCATGTGACCCTACTATTGCTCGGTCGCCTCCTACGATATTCTCGATATCCTTTCGGTATCACGAGACCATAATCAACTGCGATTCACCCACTAAAAGGTTAACATCGCAAATGGAGGGAGGATGGTGTATCTGATCAGCGCTCATGACAATAGAGCGACAACCATACTCCATCCACCTATGTGAGGCTGAACATTTTGTTTGCTTACGGCTCCTTGTGATAAAGCAGGAAGTAACTAGTCCATGATATTAAAGTTACTTTTTCAAGTCAACCACATCTGAGACTCATGTTCGTAAACTTGTTTGTGATGGTGTTTCGTTCTCAAAGCTTGATATTGTAGTAGTGAAGCTTTCACTGTACATGTGAACAACACCATCAGCACAAACTTCATATGAAGTATTCGAATTTGTGCACGTTTGAACTGTAGCTGGTTTTGCTAAGGTCTATCCTGAGTGGTTGTTGTTGACTTTAAACCTGTCATTGTTAGCACCTTTATTTTGATTGGATCCCCCTTTTGATCTGTTTCTTGATCCTATGTCACTTATGATCTTTCTGAATTGTTGACAAATAGGCTCAGTGTCGATGTGTTTGTGGATCAGAGTGATCTGAGTCCCGAGCTTCTAAAAGTTCTTTAGTGTCCTCTGTACTCCCCCTATCCAGTATTTACAGATTGTTCCAATCGAATGTATGTCCATGATTGTCAGTGTGCAATGATATTATCGGAAATTGTCGTGACGTTTGATTGCTAATTGATGTTCACGTAAACGAAGTGGACAGCCTCTTACTGGTGACTGGTCTTCATTGTCCTACTTAAGTGCAGGTGTACATTTGATGTTCTAATTTCAGAAAAAGAAAGATCTCAGTAATCATACATTTATTTTATCCAAAAAGTATTTTCTGAGACTTGACTAGGCTTTGTATGGGAATTTTTTCTGCTCTTCACCCTTTACCCTTCATTATCTTTTCAGCAACTCATCCTACTCGATTTTGCAGAGTCTCTACTGCTTTACTCGGGAGCCTGTCAAATTATAATCTAGCAAATCTCAACAAGAAGATCATTGCACATTTACTTCCTCCTGCATTTACCTCGCATCGATTCTCAACCACCAGTGATTGGTCTCAGCGCGAGAGACTTAAGTCGTTCCATCCATTGTTCTGTACATTGCAGAGTAGGAAAAATTATAGACAGTTTTACGTACAAGTATTAGCCCGCTATAAAAGACAGTGCGCTTACATAAGT